CCCACCTCCAAGTTGGCATTCACTATAACATTTACAAGTTTTTGCATCCTATGTGCCAGGAATAGGAGTGTTTTATTACCAAAGCCTAATGATTACAATGCTTAGGATGTCGTCTCTGATTGAAAAAGAAAATGTACATTTTCCTCAGCCAGACCTTTCTGCTTTGATTTCAGGTCATTAAGTCTAGCCATAAGTTTAAAAAGAGCTCTAAGCCACAGGATTTAGGTTCAAATTACTAAGCTTTACATCCACCCTTACACTGAGTCAGAGAAGAAAACCCATTAGGGAAAACAGCTGCACTCTCTTGGCCACACAGTCTTTTGAAATCTTGTTTAACATGGGTTTTATTCTGTCCTATAGTTGCTTTCATCTATGTTGTCCTCGTCGTTCCAAAGATCCCATTGCTTGCCTATCATGCTTCCAAAGGAAATCTTCAGCCCTCAAAGCTGCCGGCTTAGCTTCTGCGCCTGTCGCTCCTTTGCATTGAAGGCGTACTTTGTGTCCTGTAGCTGTTCTATGATCTCCTTGGCCTCCTTCATCTCCACGGTGAGCTGGTTGTACTTCTCAACCAGCTCCTGGTTCTCTCGCCGGAGCTCCACCACCAGCTGGCTCAGCTCCTCACTCTGCTTCCCGCAGTGCAGCTTCAGCTGCTCCATCTCAGCGAGCGTCTCCTCCATGCGCTTCACCAAGCTCTCCAGCTTTTCCTGAGACATCGCGTTAGAATAATTTATACTCCTACAGAGGTGCTTTTGTTGTTTTCACAAAGACTTCACCCAAACTGTTCCGAGGTGTCTGAGCTTGATGATTGTCTGCAGTGATTGGTAAAGTCTAATCCTTGCCTCGCCCTTACTGCACGCTAATCCCCTTAGCAGAGTTATCCCTGGAAACTTGTAACGCACATAGGAGTTACACATGGTGACAGCATCTCCTGCCTAAGTCCACCCTGCACAGAGGGTGAAAGAGGTGGACAGATTACTTCAGTTCACTGTAGCCTCAAATACGCTTAAAGACATAGAAAGAAATGTGACATCTACTGAAAAGTCTCCCTTCTCCCAATGTAGTCATCCATCTCACACATTTCACATGTGAAGTTGCTACAGCTTAACAAATTTCAGCGTATGTTATTAGGATTTTATACGATGGACCATTACGAATGATTGCATACAGGCCCGTTGCAACAAGGCAAGCAAACCAAGCAATTGTCTGGGGCCCCAAGCTGCCATGGGGCCCCCAGACAACGACTGACCTGGTTATTAACTGCATCTTTTGACTAATAGTATGAGCGCCAGTGTTCCCTCAAAGCTGTGCACTTGTTGCGCAAATGCGCATTCTCAGCATACAATAACAACTTTGAAGCGTATAAAATAAAATCCAAGATAAAGTATAAATCTGTCACAGTTTAACCTTCAAGTAACAGTTCAAGTGAGTTTTGCTTGTAGCCCCCCAAAATCCTTGAAACGACCCTGATTGCATAATTATGAAGTTAACATAAAATTGAAAGTAGGAATAAAGCATGAAAAGTATAAGAATCGAACGTCCAACTAAACCAAAACACACCAGCATCCCATTTCATAGTCTGGTCTGACACCAGTTGCACTTTATGTGCACAGTACAAATTGTTTTATGTGTACAAATTTATTCTCTAGGGGTCTTTTACATGCCTTTCTATTTTTTCTGTGAAATATACGTACCTTTTAGGTCAGGAGTTGCTGCATAATGCCGTTATGATTTCATAGTGATTTATGATTCCTGACATTTATCTTCCAGCTCCAGTTAAACTGAAAACATACAGTCACATTTAAAGTCTCACTAAACTGAACTTACCCGGGGGTGGGGGGGATTAATAAAGTTAGAATCTCTAGATGCGCAAAGTTGGTAGAGACATACCCCAAAAGAATTAGAGAAGTAAATATGGGAAATTATGTTTCTTCAAAGTATTTTTTTTATGATTGTTTTAAAAAATATATATACTTATTTAAATTTACAGCTTGTAAAATGTACATGTAAAACACCTTTCACAGATATCACAATCACAAAATGCTGCTCAATAATAAAAAAAACACTGTGAATGTGTAAAGCCTAGTTAAAAGCCTGTTTATATAAAAATGTATTTAGTTGCTTCTTAAAAGACTCAATAGATTTAATAAGGCACGTGAAAAGGGACAATAGAAGCAGGTACTTCCTTTGAGCCATCAGCTGGAAAGTGGAAGTTTTTTAATTAGTCTATAGTACTCCAGTAACTTCAAATAAACTGATTTTAGAGTCTGAGGGGAACAATATGGCATCAAAAAGCTATCAATATATCCCAGAGGTTAGCTATGTAGTGTTCTGAAAGCTAGGGTCATATTGTAATGTTTATCTTATTGCACAGATAAAGTACTTACCCCTCACTGGTCCTTATTAAGACAGATAAAAAGACTATTACAAATATCCAAATAAGACAAGAGAAAAGCATGAATGACTATTTCTTATTTTTTGATGAACATGATCAGAGCTTTGAAATGTTTCTCAAATGATAAAAACAAATTTGTACCAGTTTTCTGGTCTCCGTTTTGATCACATTTAGTTGCCAGTAGTTGTACAAGAGCTATTGTGGGAGTGGGTGAGGTCAAATAGTTCATTCTCAGTAGAAAAGAACAAAAAGGCTAAATACTATCTGCATACATATCATTCAGGATCTCATCTTATCCACTACTTTATGTAAGCCTGTTAAAAAAAATCACAATACAAAACGGCTGTAATGTGAAAAAAGATTCAGTGGATATGAATGTTTGCAAGATACCATGTAATATGGGTTTGTTTTTAATTAATAGGTTTTCTTTTGCCATATTCTCTTTATGATGAATGGAAAACATACCAAAGGAAGTGAAAAGAAGTGACTGACTCTGAAAATCAGTCCTTTGAGATTGCTTTTGAGAGTATTTAGACCAATCAGAGGTCTAGAATGCTAACAAAGTATTAAGGAATTACCTCCTTAGTTTCAGAACGTCAGGAGGCCTCATTGAGGCCTCATTCACCAAGTCACTGTATGAGCCTAAACATTCCGGGTAAGCTGCGACAATGTGTTCCTAGTTCTCATGGAAACAGAGCTCCAGGCAGAGAGCCAACTGCTCCCATCAGCCAGTGGGCACCAAGGAATGGTGAGTGAGGAATGTTGGTGTCCCAAATTACTAAGGAATTTCCACAATTTTCCCCATCTTCTCCTGAGCATCGGTAACTAGGAAGAGTGCGTGTTTGATAATCGCAGCATGTCACTGCATTTCATAACTATGCAAAACAACTGAACCAGACTCCAGGGTGCTAACTGGGTTACTTCCTGACCTGCAGAATAGAAAAAGAAATTCATTGCAGAAATTGACAACAATACAGCAAGAGCAGATTAGCAATCTGCTCTACTGTAGATGAGCATATAGCACCAGCAGACATTCACTTGCAATGAATGTAGTTGACTCTGCAGCAATCTCTCAAACCAAGCATGCATGTAGGGACTGTGGAGAGGAAAAACTTTCTCTTAATAGGAAGTAACTTCCAGCAGAAGCAGGCTCAGTGTGAGTGGCCTGGGGAAACTGGGAGTGTAATGAGACACAAGCAACAAAAGGAAACAAAGAACCGACCCATAGATAATGCAACGTTAGAAAGGTTAACCGTAAACTCTACTCCATAGATGGCTCTGTCCAAGGACAATTATTTAGCTGAGCTCTGAGCCAATTTTCATATAAAAACAATTAAAGAGAACACAGTCACAGTAAAAAGCAAATCCATAATTATATGTATTAGAGATACAGGACTTAACACTGAAAACAGGTCCAACTGTATTATCTGTACAACAGTAGCCCAGCTGATGCCTCCTTCTAGGATGGTTTTAAAGCTAAACAAAGCAACAGGCCACATGAAGCTATAATGACGAGAAAACGCAGAGAGAAGATAAAAGTATAAGTTGAAATAGCAAATATTCCAAAATTGGAGAATATAAGTAGAATGTAGCAGAGTGAGGAAAAGTGGTGCCTAGGTTCTCCAGGAGCCTAAGTTTATAGCAGCATAACTAAAGAGATAGCTCAGGAGAACCTGAGCCAATCTACAGTGGGTAAAATAGCTATTCTAATACTCTGCTATTTTTCAAGTTCTCCTACTTAGAAATCATGGAGGGTTCTGAAATTGTCATCATAGGTGCACATCTGTGAGAAACAAAATCAAAAAGAAAATCCAGAAATCAAAATGCATGATTTTTTTTAACTATTTGTATGATACAGTTGCAAATAAGTATTTGAACACCTATACAAAGATTGGTTGCAGCTTACCATGAGGAGGACGACGTGACATCAAAGGAGACCACCAGGGCAGGAAGAGACGACGGCAGACCAAGGCTCGGCTCTAGAGGCTAACAACTGGAAATGGACAGAGGACCACTGAGCTTCAGAAGAGCCTGCAGACTGAGTGAGCGGTGGAGCGGGATGAGATATGGCATCAGCTCTGTCTGCACTGGAGGTAGGATACGAAAACTACGACGGAGAATTAGCACCAGGCTCGGCCAGGTTCATGTTGGTGCAATCTGTGGTCTGACCATTGGCTATTACACATTGTATCTTAAAGTATGCCAATATTTTATAAGAAAAATTATATTTAAATCATATTCAAGGAATAATGAAATAAAGCAACACCGACTAGCAGTTTTCTTTATTTTTTGTTAAACGTGAATGATAAACTTGATAAAAATGGATCTTTGATTTTAAAACAAAATGCTTAGGTCATATTCTGTTTTAGTGAAAAGTTCGAAATAAAAACATTTTTGCTTTTCCTTGAAATTCCATTAGGATCTTAAACAGAACCAGACGTATTGTGGAGCAAAACATTTTCATTTAGTAACTCTCACTACAACATAAGCTAGAGCTGTACTATCAGGATCATGGCAAGCGTAAATTGACTTTTAAATATATATATATATTTATTTTGCCATTAAGAAATCCTCCTTAGAGGAGAAAGAAATAAACAAGTGTAAAACATTTCATGTTTCACTTTTTATTAAAAAAAGAACATAATCTGAATTGGAATAACCTTGCATAACATGTATGTGAAAGAAACAGAAGTAAGCCAGTCACCCAACAGTTTCTTAATGAACATAACTGGGAGTAAAAGCTGCTTCAGCAGAAATATTATTATTGTTGTTCCCTCCGGGGTTCTTCACAAGCACAAAGCCCGGGTGCAATGATGAAAAAACAATCAGTGCAGCTGGTCCTCCTTTATATTCAATATCAGTTCTTTTATTAAACAGCTTAATTTTATCTAAACCAGATTCCATCTTTTAGGTTGGAGTTGCTGGTTTTGTCCTTTTTTTTGTATCCAAAACAGCTCATAACACATGACAAAGCTGTTCATCCCAAAAATGTTTACAAAGGATCATATTCTCTCAATAAGCACGGCCTGATGCTGGATACTAGCATACATTTCAAAATGTCTAAACACTTGAAACTGGTTTGAAACATTTTCTTCGTATCACAATGAAAGAGTAATAAATCCCGACGGCATCTGTGCGATGCAGTGAGTTCAGGGTTGGACGTAGCATAGTTCCAAACAGCACCAGGCGAGCATCATGAGGGCAGCTGTAGCCTAAAGGTTTAAAGTTTGTGACCAAATGATCACAGGTTACAATCCCTGGACAGATGGGGGACAAAGACACAGCACACGTCTGTCACACAGGTTTAACAAGAACTACAGAAATGCCCTTGAGCAAGGCACTGAACCCTCAGATTACTCCAGCAGGACTGCTCAGTGGCTGACGTTCGCCTGCCTACCTCTTCCAGCTGGGAAGTCTCAAAAGTGAAAGTGAGGGCGAAAACGTGGTGAAGTCTCCTAATCAACTCTAAACTCAATACTGTCAAGAAAAAATGAAATAAAAATCCCCGTTTTATCACAGAAGGGGGAGACGTGTTCATTCATCTTAGAGGGTGGAAATCACCCAATTTAAATTTTTGTGTCTAAGGAAATGGAAAACAATAACAACGCAGTTAATATCTACCACTCTAACAGCAGAGAGCAAAGCAGGCGCCAAAACCTCGTAAACATTCAAATAACACATCATCTATTTATCTGCAGTGTCACTGTGTCTGTTCATGTAATGAAGGCGCTATAAGGGTTAGAGCTGGAGTTGTAATGAAAATGGATAAGAGAGGATTTTTTTTTTTTGCTATAATCTTTAAGGGAGCTAAAAGAGAAAACTCCCTCGTTGAGAACAGCTACCATGTAGGTGTACCTGAGGAAGGCACCTGCTGTAAAACCCCTATTAGGTGGGGCTGTGCGTATATGGAAAGAGAAGAGCCTCCAGATCTAAATCGGGATCTAATATCCCCCAATTAGTCAGTGTCTCAGAGCTGTAGTTGTTGGACAAACTGAAGATTCGGTCTCCACTTGGTGGGAAATGTCTTTTTAAGTTTAAAAGGAAAAAATTTAATTTAAGAACAGCCATTGTGGAAAATATCTCGGTGCCAGAAATGAAGGCAGAGTGAAATCAGCTGGTGTCTCCAGCATCATGAGTTTCTAGAGGTGTTTTTAAGGGGGCAGAGGGGCCGCTGCATCGTCCTTTATTCTCCTGGCCATAAAGGGAGTGCTGTCATGCTGCTGGCCAGAAGGCGGGGGGGTTGAGGGGGGGGGACCCAGGCGTCCTGCTAAATGTAGAACTGGTGAAGAGCGAGCTTGTCCATGAAGGGCCGCACCAAGTTATCTGTTGCAAAGTAGAAGACGAGGCCAAAAAAGATGGAGATGGGCAGAGCGGGGAGAGCTTTCCTGAAGATGGCGAGCAGGAGCAGGGTCAGACACAGGCCCTGCCGGGGGGGACAAACATTGTATGATTATGATACAAATTAAACCCAATAATGATGGTTTAACAGTTTCTAAGAAGGGTAGACGCTGTGCTGACAGACGGAGTAAGTGAGTAAGGAGCTGGTCACTTACAATGAGGATAGCTACAAAACAGGCGAGCGTGGTGTTCCAGTCGCCACTGGCTGTGGCTGAGGCCTTCCCCACCAGCATGCTGTAGAAGATGAAGTCTCCCAGCCCCAGCTTGACGCCTCCTAAGAACACAGGAGGTCGCCACATTTAGGGTGTAGTCAATGCAAACAGTTCCAGTTAGCCCAGCACCCTCCAGCCTTCACAGCTGTAATTACTATAAAAATAAGAACTCCGACCCCATGTTTACAGAAGATTTAAGTTAGAAAGAGCACAGGCTGTCCAAATGGTTAGAACATAAAACCTTGCAACTGCCATAAACAATTGCCTCCTAATCTGTTTCGACTGATAAAAAAAGAAAAATTGTGGCAGTCAGGCGGACCGCAATCTTACAGAAAAAGAGACACATAAAAACGTTCCAGAAAAGTTTGTAGAGAAGGGAACCGAAGCAGGAAAGCAGAGAGAAATCTTTGACTTAACAAGTTTAAATTACAAAGCTCATGTTCGTACTGATGTATGTTCATGTTCACCTATATAAAACGCCATCAGCTGCAATGTGTGCTAGTTGTGCCTTGAATACACCTTCCCTATTACCACAATACAGGATGTGGAGAAATATAGGAATGAAGCTTTGTTGCCTTTATACCAAAAAAAGTATTTCCAATTCATTCAAGTTCATAATTTAAAGTAAAGTTTCCTTCAATGCTGATGATGTTTTAGATTTTCCTAAAAATCCCAAAATTACTTCAGTAAATATATATATTAATTTCACAGTTTATAAGTAATTTGCACAAGAGTGAAATTAGCATTTATCATATATATTTAAGCAAAGAGACACTGAAATAGTTCAGTGTCTCATTTGACCTGTGTTTCTTTGAAGCTACAGAAAACCAAAAATATGCCATCACTGCATAAATGTTTATATCAAATGTAGGAATAAATGCTGTGGACTTGACATTAGAAGGTAACCTCTGGTATAGTTTTAAAGTGATCAAATTTGTGGCAATATTCCTTTGAAGCTGTGGACACATTGATCCAGATAGTTCAGACTGAAGATCAAGTTTTCTTTTATGCAGATGATATTTAACTCTGAGGCAAAGGACATCTGATTTCAAATGTCAAGATAGTGGGTTTCCCATTTTTTCTTGGTGGGCCTTTTTTTTTTTAATCTTAAGAGGTTTTTACTTTTTTTTATATATATTGTTTAATAGAATTTAACATTTTCTTTAATATTATTCCTTTAAAATGGACAGTCTTCCATTAGCAAAAATAGAGCATTGCTTTAACAAAAACATATCAGAAATGCTAACTTTTCCACAGCTTAGAATTAGCAGCTAATAAATGCATAGGTGGTGGTGCACTCAATGGGAGACACCAGGATGCTTCTGCATTTTTGATCAGAGTAGCTGAAATGGGGCAAACATCAGCCTTTTGCGTTTTACTTTTATCTAAACAAAAATTGAAAAAGCTTCCTGGATGGGAAGTGAAACGTCTTTCAACTTGGAAACCAAGTCCAGTGGATTGTTTTTAATTTTTTTTTGGAAAGTTTATCTGAAGAGGTTTTGTCAGTGGGGGAAGAGTTCAAAGTCAGCATAAATTACTGTAGATCATTCTAACTTCCAATTTCTGTTTCAATGGAGGACCATCTGTATTCTGTCAAGTTAAAGGCAAAAGAAAGAAACCAAAACAAGAAAAAGAAGTGAAAGAAACATGGAGTGCTCTAGGGAGTGTGAAGCTGTTCATCTGGTGTTCTTCTGTAAGGGATCCAAGATTGAAAGCCTTCATTGGGACATGTGATAAAAACATGCCAAACCGTTTCAGCCTGAAGGGCCTTTGTCAGAGCAAAACCAAAAGGAAAAAAAGAAATAATAGCTAGGAGAAGATGATATATGCTCAACCTTTACCAGGGCAAGACAATTTATGAGGGAGCAGGACTTGAAAATGCAAACAAAGGTTTCAGGCTTTCTGCTGGGCAGCTGAGGCAATTCAATATAACAATGAAGCTTATTGTGGCAATATGTTAGAAACAGGTCAGTATAGTTGAGTAGATTATTGTAAGTTTTAAGTGTACCACTAAATGGAGGTAAGCAGCTTTAAATTACATCTAAGATCTGTCATTTATTCAGATAGTTTATTAAAAAACTAAACAAAAACCACTTAACACTGCTATTACTAAACAGAAGATATAAGGAACAATCTCCTTTAAAAAACTAAACTGTCAAACCTTAAATGAACTTGTGTAAATATTCGCTTCACTGACCCGTTACACGTCTAGCACCCACAAGCAAAAGATTAAAGTTTTATTCTGTTTTCAGCACTCACTCTCTTCATCGTCGTCTTCCACAGGTGGACGAGCAGATGGCATCTGCTGAATCTCCCGTCTGGTCTCCTCAGATGTCTGAAGGGGCCCCAGCTGGTGCTGCTGCTGATTGACCCAGTTGGGCGTAAAGCCCCCGTCGTCCTGCGAGGGACTTGAGGGGGGCGGAGACTCTACCGCTGCTGATGAACAAGGAGAAGCAAGTTTATGTACTGGGAAAAAAAAAAAAAAAACTAAAAAGGAAGACATTTGAATCTGTGCTCACATTCTTGAGTCTGCTGTTGTGGTAAACCTGCTTCTGTTGAGTTCCTGTTGGGCCTGTCAGTGTCCGCCATATTGACGAGCCATACCATTGTAGCTGGAGAACAACAAATGGGACGTAACAAAAACAAGAGTACAAATTAATAAAAAGTAGAAAATGAGTTTTAAATTAAAATGAAGAAGGTTTGGCTAATCCCAGGGTAACATTTAGTCTTGGTCTTTTTGATTTTCACAAATCATTGGGTGGATTAGAAAAAAATGTGCTAAACTTTTGTGTCCTTCTCAATAATCCAGTCCTCATAGCAGTAAATGAAGGAAGCATCACCCCACCGAAAAACAAAACAACAAACAAAATAAGTTTCTTTTAATGATTGTAATGTTTTTAGAGTATCAATAATTGTCAAAAATTACAAATTAAGGGTGTGGGCTCGAAATTCGTTTATCATTTTTTACTCTTTCACTTTTTAACACGTGAGTGTGACTGTGATAAGATGGGATACTTAATTGGATGTTTTTGGGGGGCGATGATCCACACTGATACATCAACTAAATTATTAATAAACCAGTTACACTGATGCAAAAAAGAAAAAAAAAATCCATATAGTCATCTTTAAAGGTTTAGAGGACAATCTTTTATTTCCAGGTGGATCATCTAAATAAGTGGTCCTCCTAATTGTCAATTATTCTGGTGATATGTTTACCTAAGGCCGACCTACGGGCTTGTTTCCAGTTAGCTATAGAATGCAGTTTTAAAATTGACTCCCTAAAAGAGATTATATATTTTTTTTTTTTTATTATATTTAAGTCTCTTTGTCAAAATCTTATTTCACATTAATAAAAACAAAATCTGAAATCTTAACTTACAGGAGTAGATGAGAGCTGGAAATATAGGTTCATTTCTCTCCTGAGCCGTCTCTACAAGAATCCTCAGTGGTCCATTAGGACAGAGCACAGCCAGCAAGTCTGTGGTTGGAAAAAGGATTAAAATCAGGTAAGTGATGCTATGAACCAAATTCAGGGTCAATGAATAAGCAAAAGCAGATTTTCTGGTTCCTACATTCCCAAATGTTCCACTCCAAAGGCTTCATTTATACAAATAAATCATCACATCAGGAACAATTTTTTTTTCTCTAAATGCATCATCTTTTAAAAAAAAAAACAATAAAAATCTCCTGCCCATGAGTCCCTGTATTTAAATGCAGACTCCTCATTTCTGTGCTTGTCAAGGAGAGATTTACCATAAACCGATATGACGGCCAATATGAGCCAGGCGGTCCACTCCGGCAGGTATTTGATGAAAACCAGGGCCATCAGGGCGCTTATCATGATGAGGTAGGCCTGCTGGAGCCGCAGAGGTCCCTTCCAGTGAATACACATCATGCCAACCACACCGAAGTTCCACACTACTATTGCCAGGGTGAAGTAGTCCATGGCCACATTGTAGGTCTTGAAAACCTCTCTGTTTAAAAGAGCAGAGATCAGCTGGAGTTACTGTTATATCAGAAAGAGCTAGATTATTTCACATGAATGAATGACGTTAAATTAAATTTGTAAAACTACATTTAAATCCATGTTTGCAGTGCTTACTGGAGGTAGATGAAGGAAAAGAAGAAGAGCAAGAGGAGGGAGGAGAGAAACAACCATCCTTGGATCACCTGAGAATGTAAACATCAGACTGGTTAATATGCAGCACCGCTTAGGTTAATCTGCATCTTTGATCTAATGTTCAACTTTAAACTGTGGGCTTAAATACAGAAACCAAGATGAAGAGAACAGAAAGTTTAGACAAAGTACCGATATACTCCTCTGAAGGGCAATTGAATCTGCTTTTTTAACCCGCTTTTTGTGTTTAATAACATGTTGTTCACTCACAAGTTTATGTGATGCATTTCAAAGGAAACATTCAATTTCTTCTAAAATAAACAAAAATGAAATATAATAACTGAATTTGAATTAAATGAGTGGACCAAACAGGAAAATATGGAATGTATATTCAATCTTCTACTTCAAAATACTTAGAATCAAAACAATACATAGACTGAAAAACTGCTTCTAAAACCAAATCCGCCCTAATCAGAGATGGATGGTGAGAAACACTGATAGTTGATCACTTTCTGTCACCCAAAGGGAGAAGACCCGAGGAAGAGGAATCAAAAGAAGCTGTTTTGAGCTTAAAATGAAGCCGGAGCAACGTAGAAGTGTAATAAGGTTCTAAAGCAGGACTTTCAGCTGGAAACAGAAATGATGCATAGCAAAGTTTTTCACATCATGTGCCCAAGATCGATGATGAAAAAGCGCGTATCTGTTGTGGGGTTTCAATTTTGAAGTTTTAAAACAGGCAATTTCCCTAAACTAAGTGTATTCTGGGAGGACATCTTTGACGCACTTAAAGTAATTTTCAGGAGAAATGTCCCAAAAACTCCCTTGGTGGCAATTCTGGGAGAAATACCCGATGGAATAGACAGGAAGGGGGATAGATACCTGTTAAGAATCTTGCTTACAGCAGCATTGAAATGCATAACTGTCAGATGGCTGAAGCCAGAGCCTCCTACATATAACATATGGATACAAAAAGTTTGGGACATTTACATGATGGAAGGAATAACATATTCCCTAAGGTTTCAAAAAACAGTTTTTAATACAAGATGGAGCTCTGTCATACCGTTACTAACTCAGTGACACAGCTACAGGCTAGCCCTTTTGCATTAGCGTATATCTTTGGGTCGATGGAAAATACTATGAATGTGTGGATTGTCTTGTTTCAGGAGGGGATTCATTCAAGTGTTATGTACCATTTTATTTTATTTTACTGTTAGCTGCCTGTTGATTTCAATCTGTTGTCATGTATGCATTATTACATGTGTTAGAACACCCACTGACTCACCTTTCGATGTCTCGTGTAATATAGTGGCTTAGGTCGGTGGAGACAAAAGATTGTAACTGTGTTCATGTGTTATTAAAAATAAAAAAATAAAGTTCAAAAAAAAAAATAAAACAGGCAATTTAAAGATGCCAACAAAGATTAACATCAGATGAGAGGTTGAGGTACTAATGGTAAGATATAACCTGATTAATTCAAAGGATTTCATAAACAACTTCCATCTGATAATGTGCAACAAAATAAGTCTCTAAAACTCTAGTTAACCTTTGTTTAAATGTAACATATTAAAATAGATTTTTCTAGCCTAAGCAAAACTGCAGTTGTTACAATTCCTGATTTATTTGCGATAAAATGTATGAAACAAAAAAAAGTCTGACCAAAAGCAACCTAAACTGCTGAGTGTGGAGAAAAATTTCCTAACCCCCTTCAATACCTCCTCTACCCACTAGAGGGCCTGGGCCATCACGTTGAGGATCTCTGCTTTAACATCTGCCTAAAACAAAATGTTTGCTGCTTTTTGGAATTCTTTGAGTTTAGGCAAACTATTTTTGTAATAATAAACACACTAATAACTAAGAAAGGAAGAGTAAAAACAATTTAAAGTTTGAAACTTTAAATTGTTTTAAAAGTTTTTTAATTTGTTAATTATGAAATTCTGTGACAACCAATCAGCATAATTGCTGGTAATTACAGGAAGGAAAATCAGTACCATAGATGGTAAGGGTCCCCTTATAAATAATTAACAAAAGCTTTATAGATATGATTTTAATTGATCTGAGAACACTTAAAAGCTCACTCGTTCATGCAATCATATTTGTTCATGCTAAAAAAAAAAAAGTATAAATGTTGATTTTCTTTAAAGGTAATAAACTGGTCTAAAATGCTGAAACAGAGCTGTCAGCTTAGGCTCAGTGTTTCGGAAGAAACTGGTCAGTTTTGACTCCAACACCCCTTTAAAGCATAAAACCCTTATCAATGACTTAAAAATGTTTACAGAGGAATTAATAACATATTTCTAACCAATTTATTGGCCATCTAAAGGGGAGCCTTAGTGTAAAGAAGTACTGGAAAGTTAAAACATGCTGAACTACATTTTTTTTAAAACATTTTTTTAAATGCTATAACATTTAGCGACAACCTAGATCCAAAACTTCACCATCAATTGGGGCTTTACGCCTGTTTTTTTTTCTTCGTAATACACTGATCAGAATATAACTTAAATAACTACTAAAAATACACCTCTTTGTTTTCTGAGATTATATCAAATGGATTTAACAAATAGTTATCTAAATACATTTCTGCACTAAAGACTTTAGCTACAAACCTTTAGTTACCGTATTTTCACGACTATAAGGCGCACTTAAACGTCTTTTTTTCCCCTCAAAATGTGCGGTGCGCCCTATGGTGCGGTGCGCCCTATGTGTGTTGTAACTGCGACTTTTGAGACCACCTCATTGAGGAGATGATGAAAGAGTGGCTGAATGTAAGGAGACCAGGTGTTTTTTTTCCACTCATCACCATTAATCTGTGACTTCATGCGTGCCCATCTCCCAGCTGATGTGAAAAACATGGGGAAACAAATTAACGCTGTGCTCGCTGTTCAACCGCTCAACATCGGTGTGAACCGGACCCAGCAGGTGCAGCAGAAGCAGCGAGTTTACATGCAAAGTCAATGGTTGACGCGCGTATAGGTGCAGCAAAAGGTCCTGCAGCCCGTTTTGAGCCGCAGGTGCAGCACGTCGGGATCGTTTAAGCATCTGATGCACCGCCAACGCGCTGCTGCTGCTCGAGATGGAAAATTTTAAGTTTTGCTGCTGGACGCGCCGCATCAACCAATCAGAGAAGCTGATCTGGGAGCTGACAGCGAGACAGACACAGCGCTCTGATGAAAGAGGAGATGATGAAAGCGTGGCTGAGGGAGGTGTAGCCTATGTGAGGAGAACAGGTGTTTTTTTCCACGCATCACCATCGCTGCGTGCCCATCTCACAGCCGATGTGAAAAAAAAGGTGAATCAATGAACGCTGTGCTCGCCGTTATACCGGGGGGTCTGACAAAGAAACTTCCACCGCTCGACATCGGTTTGAAGCGGCCGTTCACAGTAAGGCTGCGAGCGGCGTGGGAGCGATGGATGGCCGACGGAGACCACAGTTTCAGGATAAGTGGAAGGCAGCGCCGGGCAAGTTACGCCACAGTTTGCGGATGGATTGTAGATGCTTGGACTAAAGTGTCTGCTGGCTCTGTTCTTCAAGCTTTTGCAAAAGCAGGCATTATTTCTGAGGAGCTGCGCTGCACGGAAAGTGACTCTGACAGCGAAGAAGGGGAAACTGGCATGTCTGATTTAGCGCAGCTGTTTAATTCAAAAACAGAGGATGATGACTTTGATGGGTTTGATTAATACTTTGTAATAAATACATGAATAAAGCACAATCATACTCAGTTTTGCTCCCGCTCTATTTTTCTACCTGAAAACTTAATTCAACAGCAGCCTCTGGGCGCGTCTCCTCCTCTTCAGCGCGGTGGCTGGCAGGTGTTTTTTCATCTAAATAATCTTAATCTTGCAGCTATATTTGCTGTGATCAGTGGGAATAAAGTAGTTTTAATATGTTTTTAAGTGAGAAAGGCCACCTGAAAACTTCATAATTGCAGTCAGTTCATCCAGATTATCTATTTCTGTCGGAGGCGCTCAGACCCCCACATACCAGCGGTACGCCGACAGCAGAAATCCTTTCGTTCACCGCGGTGGCTGGCAGGTGTTTTTCATCTAAATAATTGAAACTGCAGGCACCAGGATACCGGTAATAAAAGCGAACATATTCCGTCGGCAGGTTTCAGGATTTTAAGTTAATTTAGGAGTGACCACAGCGCTGTGTCATCTGCGATGTGTCTGTCTCACGGCCAGCTGCCAGGTTTGATTAATACTTTGTAATAAATACATGAATAAAGCACAGTCATACTCAGTTTTGCCCCCGCTGTATTTTTAAATACGCAGTAGAGCTATTTAAAGGTAGTAGAGGACATGTACCGGTATATAAAAAACGCGCCCTATAGTCCGGTGCGCCTTATGTGTGTGTTAAATACAAAAATGGGACACATAACTGAGAGTGCGCCTTTTAGTACGGTGCGCCTTATGGTCGTGAAAATACGGTACTAATTATTTTAGTGCCTCACTTCACAGTAAAAAAACAAAAAACAAAAAAACCACACACACAAAAAAACAAGCTTCCTGATCCAAACTCTTAGTTAATAATCCTTCACTTTTAAATTAAATAATCAGAAAACATCCCTTTGCATGTTTATATTAGAGTGTAACACAGTGTTATTACTGCTGATCTGCATCATTCAGATATCATTTCACAATACCAACTTGGCTCACTTGGATTTTATCTGAACTTACCAAAGATGCTTATGGTTAATTGTTCTGCCCAAAAATTGAACCCTAATAAATCCTAAATATAACTCTTTGAATTGCATCTTATTAAGAGCAGTTTGAATGTCTTTTATTTTTACTGAAGGAGAGAACAGGTTGCAGAGGGTCTGGATAGCAGCTCTGCTCATGTGCAGCCTTACAGCACACAGTTTATAGAGACTTTTATAATAAATGGTAAATTCTTGACAGAGCAACTTTTGGGTAAATGAAAACATCTGACAATGAGTAAGATCTTATGTTAAAAACGTCGCTTGTGCACAAGAAGATATTCAAACCCGTTCACATGTGAGGATCTTTTATGATAGGCTGACACAAAGTGGAGGATAAACATGAAAAACATAACATGGCATGGTAGAGGCAGCCTCCCCATGATAAGGCAAGGGGTTGGCAGCATCATGCATATGGGATTAGTTCATTTCCTGAAGCTTGTAGATGTAATATGATAAAGTGTAAAAATAAGTGCACTTTACTAATTTATTTGGTACATTCCTCTTTTCTCATTGAAACAATAACATAGATAAGTGTCAACGGTGAAATGAAGAATTCTCCTGCATTATTCGAGCCTCTTTCTGTACCTTGTAGCAGCGATACTTGTATAACAGCACCAGCACCAGTGTCATGACGATGATCACAGTGATCATGATCGTGGCGTTAAGGATGGAGTTGACGGCTCGCTGTGCGACGGTGTCTGTTTCCTCTGGGAAAGGTGTGTAGATCCTGGAGTTGAGACGAGAAAGAACAGCTGAGCTAATAGCTGAACAGGAAATGCAAATAAATAATCTCAATAAATGAGTAAAAATATTCAGTTTTTAATCTAAGCCCATCATTCGCTTCAACAAGAACCACAGTGACACTTAAATACTCAACTGTCAAACATGAAACATGGTACAGTGCCTCCACCTAGTGGTTGTTATGTTTAACTACAAGACAAATCAACCACATGTAATGTTTGAAATCTGGTCAAAGTCTAAAACCTGATCCGTTTATGAGCAGGAATGAGGTATAGGTCATAAAACACTCACAGTCGCTGTCCATCGTTCCTGGTGTAGAAGCTGACAGATTTTATGGTTGCCACGACCACCACCATGCACAGGGTCACAGGCACAAAGAGCATGATGACGTGCTTGGCCCCGTATTTCAAGGTCATCTCCTCATCCTCTTCCTCTTCGGTCTCCACGACTCGAGCGGGACGAGCAGCGGGTGGCTGCCCGTTCTGCTCGGGGTTAGTACGGTTTCCTCCTCCTCCATCCCCTGCTCCGGCCCCAGAGCCTCCCCTGGACCGTGCTCTCGTCTCTGGTGCCTCATTGGGTTGAGGGTTGGGTTCTGGGCTGGTATTTGTCTGTTGTTGGTCCTTTTGGCACAGAAGAACAAACCCTGTTATTCTCATAATAATTCATAATTCAACCAAAGACAAGAAAGAAAAGCTAGAAAAAAAATTAATGGAGTAAAAAATTAACAGCATTTGTAACATTATCACTATTCCCAAATCACAGTGGTCAATTTTGGTCACATTTCTTACAAGAAAATGACCCTGGCTTTCTCGCTCCAGTCTTATAGGTGGCGGTACCACACTTAAAGTGGGTTTGCCACCAAACAGAAAAGAAGAGAGAGTAGCAGCTCACACAGGCTCAATTCTAAACCAGCCGCCTATGTTTTAACCACTAACTATTGAGGATCACTCCCAATGAAGTCACACTCGCATCAGTGGAGGGCACCTTGATTGAAGGTGGGCGGGTATAAATGAGAATGGGACGCCCTCCTCCCTCAAACAGAAAAGGTATCCCATGTGCGTTGCTGTAGCTCTGTGGCACAGATTTACATGGCATCAAACATTTGTCCCTTTCTTAAACATACATTTCTACAGTCAAAAATACTTTTAAAGAGGACTTTCCCTTTTGGAATTAATGAAACCATTTTTTCCCTTAATTTGTGACTTTCTATCACTGTGATGAAGATGCAACAAACCAGCAGAATTTACACTTAGATGCATGAGTTTCCTCCACCGTTACGCCGTCTGCATTGAAGCAGACTCGCTATATAAGGGCTGAATGGTCCACTCACCCTACCCACTGGTTTTGGTTTAGGCCCCTCAACAGGAACGGTTAGTGCTTAGGGGAAGTGTTTAGGGGTCAGTTTGGGATTGGGCCACACAGAACCATGCATATCCAGATCAGCAGAAGTAAACACTTTTCTACACAACAGTAAAGTCAGCTTTTAAGCTCAAGAAAATAAAAGCCTGAAGTTAAACATCTGCATGGAGGTTGGTGCACAGTAAGGAAAACAAAAATCAAATTAGAGCACTACTTAATTTGGGGGAAAAAGTAAAAATGCAGTTTTGTTTTTTAGCATATAAATTCAGCCTGATTCCAGATTTCAAACCTGGACAAATCTAGAATGAACCAGAAATAATCTGGTCAAAATTTTTACTTGAGTGATATCTTCATAAAATGTTGCTACTCTTAGTTGAGTCAAAAGTTTGGCTACACCATCTACGGTGAGCTTGTTGTTTTCTTTTTTTTGAAGGAGGTTCCAGACAATGACACACAGTCAACATTTATATCAATTTTGTATTTAAATATCATAATAATAATTAATTTTTTTGCACAAAAGCTTAAAAACATTTACTGTGAACATTGAGAGGTAAAGTTGATGAGGAGTGAATATTATCAGCGGAGGTGCTAGTTTCATGTTTTAAAGGAAATTGGTTTAGAAAAAAGTTTTCTACTACCTGGAATTTTTATATTCAGTAACATTTATTTTACTTTTTTTTTTCTCTTACTTTATTTTAATTTTTAAAATACCAAAATTTGCACAAAACTTTGCATTTCGGTCCGTCTTTATTACTTAATATATCCGATAATATGATCAGTTACCTTGTAATAGAGCGGACCTTCAACTAAATACTTTTACAGACTTATTTGAGTAAATGTATAAAAGTACACTCACTTAATTTGCTGACGAACTATTATCACTTAAGTCCAATGTTTGGGTACTCTACCCACCTCCGATATTGTCGTCCTTGTAAACCTGCCAGCTGACAGGCAGTGAGCAGCAACAGGCAGGAAAAAGGACAGTACCGTGTTTCTCGAGTGCTATATTAAGTAATGTGCCACTTTCTTTCTCATAAAACATAAAACTTATTTTTAGAAAAGCACTGCATAGGAGAACAAATATGGCAGAAAGCTACTTTATTTTCAAAGCTGTTAATGTTGAAATTTGGGCATATTTTGAGAATAACCCGAGTATACTTCTTTCTACATGTCCAAAAGAAGTTTTCCAGTGTAAACAAAAAAATCTGTCCCTTTCCTGGCTCTAATCCTGTAGGAAAAAAAAATAAAAAAAAGTCTCAAAGATCAATAAATGGAAAGGTTTAAATATGTTTACTTTCTATAAACAAAACCCTGAGGAGCTGCTAGGGAGTTTGGGCTGTTTTCAAACAAAACAGGAAGGGAGCTGAACTTGTTGCTGCTTAAGTTAATCAGAGGAGGAGGAGGAGGAGGAGGACTGCACCCAGTTCTGCTCTGGTTAATAAATGACTTCAGAAATATGAGGAAGCTGTACTTTTCAGTTGCAAAAACCTAAATATGAGAAACATTTGTCAAGTTATCAGTGCAAACCTCTGCTGATACCGTTACTGACGAAGAACAGATGTGAAACAACTTAAAAAAAGGTTTTGGCTCTAAGCAGTAGACATGGGCCAGTTATCTGTCAGACATCAAGTTTTAAAAAAATGAACCCTCAACAAAAACCATACAATTCCAAAAGTTTTAATCAATTTTAATGAAATCCCAGAAAAAGTGCAGAAATTTCACCCGCCGTTTTAAGAAAAAACATCTTAACTAAAGTACAGTATATACACTCTTATTATAGGGGCTGAAATACTCATTCCATTAGCAGATAAATTACCTGCTCAAATAAGGTACAAAGAGATTTATGTCAAGAAACGTTTACTTATTCTAAGATCATTTTTTGCTGAATTTTACTTGTAAGTTTAGGGCAGCATTGAGCTACAGAGCTGATGGCTTTGGGGTCTGCTGAACACAGATCAGAACAGATGTGCAAAGGCTGGAAAAAATTTATTTGGCTGTGGATCAGCATGCACCACAGAACTTTGAGGAAAGCAGTGTAAGACAATCATTACTTTACCATTTCTCAAAAAGATGACTGAAGCACTAAATGAGGTCACTGACTCTTACTCCAGCATTAAACAGGGAGCAGCAGCTCAGTTAAAAACTGATCTCATACTAGCTGTAAATCACCCTGGAGCCGTTCTGTCAGATTCGGATTCAGATAACTCAAAGGTCTGACTAGAAGGGCCAGACCGTGAGGCAGGCTGACACTTGTAGCATGGAGAACATCAAGCACTTCATATTGATACAATAATAGTACGACAGGAGGCAAAACCCAACAGGCTGCAGAGAAAAATACTCTGATACTGCATTGTTTCGCAGGCCTGGGAATGAGGCCAAGGACACAAGGTGCAGAGTCACCCCCAGATTCCACATACTCCGTCAGTGCTAAACTCCTCCTTGTTCACGAGTTGTGCAGATTACTTGTCTGTCGTGCTAATCAACGAGAGCTGTTCCACATCCACCGCTACTCCTCCGTCCACATACGTCTTCTCCGTTCATCACCGGAAAAATACGGACCCAAGCTATGCTTTGCTCCGCTCCGGTCCGTTGGAAGCCGGCCAGGTCAAGAACCGCAAGAAGATCCGGTTTGTCAAATTAAAATACAGTTACGACAGATTGGTAACTACAAATTAGAGCATGATTCTTATAGATTCCAAAAAGCTAAGACCATTTAATTAAATGATTGGGTGCAAACTATAGGTACTTGAACATACCAGAAAGCAGATTTCTCATCTCAATCAAAATATCTATTTTATACCGACAGGCTTAACAGTTTAATCAAATCCAGTCAAAAAAAACTTCTTATCGCAGGCATGGATGAAGAGATGCTGAGTTTGGAAGTAGAGAACATAGTTCATAAAAAAAACTATTTTGTATGATCCTAGTTATTTAGTTCATATACGCATTATTTGCTTCTGCAAAACTTGAGCAGTCATGGAGGATGTGGGATTTCGGGGTCAGAGTTGTGGAGAAACACTAATGATTTCTGTAGAAGAAAGCATAGGTAGGTGGATCGCATGAAAGCAGCGATCTGACTAGCTGTGGCTACTGAGGTCATACAGTATGAAACAGTTTGAGTTTAACCATATGTTACAGTACAAGTTTAACAGTAAAAAAGTAAAACACCTTTAAGGCAGTAAAAAGACTTTGACCTTGGCCTTCAGCTGTGAGGGAAACACCTTTATTTACAGTAACAGCTGATTAGTCAACCCATACCAACCTTCATAGTATGCATGTACATTTACATGTTTTAACATTGGATGTTTCTTTAAAGTGACAATTCAACACAAAGCTGTGAATAATTTTAAGATAGAAGATAATCAATTGAAGAAAATATTTTTGTAGATATGAAATTTGTTGAAGATATTCAGCCCTCTTTAAAATCCCTAAACAACACCTATTGACTTCAGCTGTCACATTATGAGTGAACAGAGCTAATTATCAACATATCATGATAAATTCAGCCGTTTTGTAAATTGAAGCATCAACAAGTCCAAGAAATGCAGCTGGTAGAGTTCAGTGATAAAACAATATCCCAAAGATGTTTCACTTCAGATAAAAGCTGTTCAATGCATCATCCTAAAAAATATATATAAAAACCAAACTGCTTGGTAATTTCCCATTAGCCTTGTGAAGGTGTACAATTTTGTCTCTAGTGTCTTTGAACAGCTCTTTGGTCTTGGCCATGTTCACACTGCAGCCTGAAGTGACCCAAATCTGATTTTTTTGCCCATATGCGGCCTGGATCTGATCTTTTCATGGCTGTCTGAACAACACAGATCCGATTTTTAACAATGCCACCCAGGCCACTGTGTGTGGTCCTGAATCCAATACAAATTTGATCTTTTCAAATGCGACCTGTGTCCGAATGGCCAGGTCACATTCATCCGGCCTGAACGCCATTAATACCCAAGAAAGGTCATTATTCTGGGTCTTGCTATGAAGAAGCGGCAAGAAAAACAACCACCATGGCAGATGATTATGATACGGAGAGCAGTATTTATGTTTAACCATCTTGAAAAGATTGTATTTTTATGGTTGGGAAAGATCGCTAGATGCGCTCTGGTACTACCATCCATGTTTACTTCTGTAAACTCAGAGCAGGCTGGCCTGTGAAGTCATTGCGTCCTCTACTGGATTATTTCTTTTGGATTGTGTCTCACAGTGGATGCACCTACGATGACAATTTCAAAGCCCTCTGTGATTTCTGAGTGCAAAACAGCAGGGTGTTTAAATAGTTATTTTCCTCACCGTATGTTATTAATTTAGTATGTTATATAGAAATATGAAATTTGTAAGACAATTCGACTATAAAAACTCATAAACATATACTTAAAACTAAAGAAGAATAAATCAAGTATTTATTTATCTTACACACACACACACAGATACATATATATACATACACATATACACATATATATACATACACATATATATACATACACGTGTATATATATATATATATATATATATATATATATATATATATATATATATTTTTTTTTTTTTTTTTTTTTTTTTTTTTTTATCTAATTTAACCAAAGGGTAACCTATATAGGATCGGGTGAGAGGCTGTATGTGAATCAACGTGAAGATCAAAGTGCAACAGTGTCAGAAAAAAAAAAAAACTTAACGAATACGTTTACATTATCTTTACATCCCACTTTGTTATCTAGGGTGGAATCGGTGGATGTTTTACTCATGTAGCATGACTCATTTTATGAGAAGAGACAAGCCATTGTTTTCCCTCAGAGTTGGTGCACAGGGAAGCTGATTGACTAGCCATCACAAATGGGAGGGCTCAGAAATTCACTTGCGGAGGACAGTAAACTCAGCCCGAGTGGTGATGTTTACTTGTCACCAAAGTCTCAATCGACACAAAAAGCCACCAGAATCATTGCTAGTCACTTGACGTGATTATTGGAGCTAAATACGGGCGAATACAGTCAGAGTATGTTTTCAAGTCAGCAGAGGAAATGGGGTATTTTACATCCAGAACTTTCGTATTAAAACCCTTTCATGTGCTTGAATGGGACTAAAATAAAACAAAACACCATTCTATTCATATTCAATTATTGTAAATATGGCATTTTTTGCTCAATTTTTTATTGGTTAATACACCCCCCCTACACACAAAAAAATTAGTTGTGAAATGAAAAAACTTTAATAAAGGAGTTCAATGAATAGTTTTAAACAGCACTGTATATCAAGCCTAATAAACTCAGAAAAGTTCATAATTTATACTGACAATAATCCAAAATTGCCAAATAACAGAAAACGTCTCTAATTTTAAATGAATTCTTCCACTATGATGAAATCAAACTGGCCCATGCCTTGATGTAAGAAATGGTTATTCTCTTTTAACCAAAACTCCAGAACGATCATTACCCAACAAACGGACACAGACATGTTGGCTTCATACTGACCGTATTGTTTTCAACATCCTCTGTGGTGTTCGCCATGTCGGCTCAGCAATCACTTTACCCTCACATGCAAACAAACCTCTTTCACCTTGATGCAAAAGAAGAAGAAACAAAGCATTAGAAAATCTGTATTAAAAAAACAAAAAACATTTCAATAATAAACGTTGAATCACAGACTGCAAGGATAAAGGAGACCATGTCTTATGAGACAAATATTCCTATGGACTCCAGCAGGGCTGTTTGGCAGCTTATGTAATCTATGATGAATTTACTGTAAGGCTTTTTATATGTTTTCCCACGGGTGTTAATCATTATAGGCCTCTACATGTCATAAACTCTTTTCATGTTCAGGTTATTCATGAAAAACATAAATAATGTTGACCATTGAAATATGTCTTCATCCACTTGGATTTCAGTGAAAAAAAAAAAGAAAAATAGGAGATACTTTACTGCGACATTCAAAGGCTCATGTAATAATATTAATTATTGTAAAAAATAAAATAAAAATAAAAAAACAATCAAAAACATAAGTAGCTTTATCTGTTCCAGAGTACGTTCTTACATAAACTCCAAAAAAGGGTTTTCATGTTGTAACAAGTTCAGAGGTGTGAACAGGACGTGACAAAGACTTCCTTCAACATTTTTTAGACCAATTACACAAAAGAAATAAAGACTCTTCACAAAGCTGCATATTAGAAGTAAACACGATATTATGAATATTGAAACTAAATTTATATATAGTATAGCAGCAATCCTGACTAAAACTGAAGAAAAAATGGTTGATTCATTACAGAATCCATTTTATTTTCCTTTTATAGTTACGGTTTTGAAATTTTCCTTTGAATTACCTTTCTCCATTCTTTAGGAAAATTAATTGAATGCTGTTTTATGCTATTATATTTTTATTGCATTATAATTATCAACATGCTTCATTGCCTTGCCACAATAAGAGGTACTTTAAATGATTCAAAAACATTTAGTGATATTAATAAAGCTTTATGAAGCTTTATTAATATCACGGATGGTAACAATGAGATGTACAGACACTAGGAACTATAACAGGCAGATCTTTTTGTCAGAACATAGATGGCAATACTTTCCACAATCCAGCTGAAGAGCACCTATTTGTCTTGTATAACATCACAAGGTGAGGCAAACGACAAGATGTACATTTGACAATCGCTTTTAGTGGATTCTTTCAAGTTTAGGGTCTGCAATCTTTAAGATCCAAAGAACTATTTCTTCCCTAGTCCAGCCAAATAAAAGCCAAAAATGTACATGACCCTTTTATAAAACATCTTGTTGTCTTAGTTAAAGGGGTCATAAAATAATTCTATAGGGTATTTGGCAATGGTCCTTCAGGTCTCTGAATAGGGTGTGTAACATTGGTTGGGCTGAAAATGGCATATTTGCTGTTTTATGCGCCCTAATGCAAGCCTGATTAAAAGCCCTAGAATGAAACGACAAATTTTCTTCCTTTTATGGTATGCTCATAAATATTTAGATGAGTTGTGCGATGATTGGTTGGTTTACAACGAGCGAAGCGGCTGAGCTAAGACACATCATAGCAACAAGCCTTCACTCACTGAAACATCGAAATTTTTGATATGGTAGGGTGACCAGTCCTACTTTTCATATCCCCCCCCCCAAAAAAAAAATGTCAAGTGGGAATTTCAAAATCTTACGGGATTTTGGTCGACTAGTGCAACCCAAATTTTGGGGTGTAACAAAAGTACAGGCCAGAACCATGTAAGGCAACATCCCCGAATTGACGTCTTCATCTATGGCAATGTAAATTTGGTTTTGCGTTCTATGACCCCTTTAAATATCTGTGATAGGAGGTCTGTTGCCATTTATGCATTTTTTTGGTTTTAAAATGAGGACAAAAATAAAACCCATGGATTTTCTTTTATAGGATGTTAATAGCAATGAATATTTTTTACACATTATTGGTTATTTTATTGTAGTTCTTTTAGAGAAATTAAATCCATAAATCCTTCTAAAAACTGCTGAACAGTCAAACACAGGCGAATGTTATATCATTGTTAAAAAAAAATTGTCGGCTCATTCAAATTTTTTGCCACTTTTAGAGGCAGTTATTGTTGGTTCAAGGAGTCACTTGTGGCTGCAGAGATGCAGGTTGCAGACCCTTGCTGTAGATGCTCCAAAGTCTTTGATGCTCCTTATGTTCTCTTCAGATGACAGGTAATCTATAGATTAGATCATAAAACTGCTAAACAACCTATTTTCTTCACAGCGCTCACCAGATTGGTGTTTAATTTGGGATGCGTGAAAGAGAAAAAATTAGCTCTAAGGTAGCAAACATCCCCCATCAACCTTGACAGTGAGCATTAGATAATTTTCTATCCATTGATTTTCCAAAGCTCCATAAGCCTCTCATCTAACCGAAGCACACAGTTCAATCAAAGTAGAGTTGTGCTGTTCAGTTTGAGAAGAAAGAGTTTTCATCTGGTTACTTTACAAAAAATAAGTTCACATATCCTCTGTTCATTATAAGTGGTGGACAGATGAGGTTTTGCCACATCCTATAATCCTATCTATATAATCAATGGATTTCAAGCAACAAAGGAGAAAGCTTAAATAACATTTACTCTAATGGGATTTTTAAAAGGACTTATGATGATTATGTGATCCAAGATATTTCTATTTTCTGTTTTACTATATATTTACTACAAAATCTTTAAGCATCTACATGTTTGTCTACAACTCCTCATTAAACTCTTTAGAAGATTAACACATTAGGATATTAAAAATTGCACGATTGCATTAATTGCAAGAGTGCTGCTTTATAATCCCCCAAAAAACACACCAAATTAATATTTGCTGAGCAGCTACGAAAAATAACGGGTTCCTAACAACGGTTCATGTCAAACTGAGCGACATTAGCTAGCGTTCAGTGTAATGCTGTGTTAATGCTATAGGTATGCTATTATTAAGGAAAAGGCTACAACGGCTAGTTAATGTTAGCCAGTTTTATTTTAACGGCACAGCGGAGCTAACCGGCTAACACTAGGTAACCCCCACAGGTCAGATTTTATACGGCTCTTTGAAATACTCCGTGAGGAACAGTGCTTACCGACAACAAAGGCAGTGTACTTTCCCCCAAAATTCTATTAAAGCAGGTTTAAAAACCGGGCACCCACTCCTCCTCCTCCTCTTTGTTGTTCCTGCGTTTCCTCACAGAATCTCCGACGGCTTCCTGTTCAAGTCGATTCAGCTCCTGTCTAGTCCTGTCACGAGAAAGTGGCGGAGCTCCGGTGCTAACCGGAAGTAGCTCCACTGATAGGCGGAAGTAGCTCCACTTTTAGGCGGAAGCATTGACTGTTAGTAATTTTTATTCTTTTTTATCAAAATATTGAGCATTTATACAAAATCGTAAGGCATGTAATCAACAAAAACATTTGTACGTGTAAGATGCACAGATGATATTATAAGACAAAGCTATTCATAATGGTGCATCAGATGTGAAAATTGGTAATACCAATAATCCATTCAATTCAGTTTATTAATATAGCACCAATTCACAACACATGTCATCTCAAGGCACTTTACAGTTTACCAGATCAAACAGTCAGATTGATTCAAAGTTTTCTACCTAAGGAAAACCATTTGATTGCATTGACTCAAATGCAATCCCTCACACTAAGCATGCTTGTAGCGACAGTGGAGAGGAAAAACTTCCGTTTAACAGGAAGAAACCTCCAGCAGAACCAGGCTCAGTGTGAGCGGCCATCTGCCGAGGCCGACTTGGGTTCAAGAAGACAGAAGCAGACATACAAAAAGCAGCTGTAACAGGAAACACACAGAAAGGCAGACGAGCTCCGAGCCAGCTCCCATGTCAGAGGATGAAGAGAGAACATCCAGCCAGTCACAGTCGGAGAAGCAGGACTACACTGGAAAACAGTCCGATCTACAACATCTATAAACAAGGGTGTTGATGGCAACAGCACAGCTGATATTTCTTTCCAGGATAGTGTCACAGCCAAAGAGGAAGAGGTGAGGCAAAGCTACTATGAGAAAAAGCAGAGAGAGCAGAATGTTAGAGATTGAACAGATTCTGCAGACTGGAGAATAGAGATAGAATGAAGCAGATTCATGAAATAGGTCCTCCTTACAGGTCCTCCAGAAATCTAAGCCTATAGCAGCATAACTATAGAGATAGCTCAGGAAGGTGATCGAAGGTAAAACATGGGAAGTAACTGGTTACATCTAGTCATTTACTTAAGTACTCGCAATTGTGGTTTTCCCACTTGTCTGGGACCAGGTTGTGGAGATTACCTTTTTTGCCCAGCTCTCTTTTCACCACAACAAACTGATGCAGCGACCACATTATAGCGGCAAGCACACCAAACTATCTATCAATCTGACATTCCAATCTTCCCTGATTTGTGAACAGGACCTCAAGATATAAAAATTCCTCCACTTGAGGCGGGAACTCTTCTACAGACTGAAGGGGAAAAGTAACCTTTTTCTGGCTGAGAACCGTGACCTCAGGTTTGGAGGAGCTGATATTCTTCCCTACCACTTTGCAATCAGCTGCCACCCGCCCCTGTTCATGCTGTAGGTCTTGGCATGGAGGAGCCAGCAGAACCAGATATAGAGAGATGGAGACGGATACCAACAAAACCTCCCTCATCCTTAGCCCTATCTCAAAGAATTTTTCGAAATAGTCAAAAAATTAAGTTTTCAATTCATATAGTGGCATCTCACAGTTTTTTTTTTAAACATTACTTTATACTTTTATACTTTAAGTAGTTTTTGGAGCACATACTTTTTCACTTTTACTTGAGTAAAGAGGTCAAGTTGATACTTCAACTTTTACCAGAGTGTTTTTAAACTACAGTATCTATACTTGTACTTAAGTAACAAGTGTGTGTACTTTTGACACCACTGTTGGTTTGATAAGTTTTATTTAAAAAAATAATGGATTTGGAAAAGTGTTTTTTCTGCATAAATTTGCTATGTCTTAATCTTGTTATTTATTTATAGTTTGTTTTTATTTTAGTCTGGAAGATACTCACACTAAACATATGTTTGATTAGATGATTTCCTACCCATTATATATCAGATAATTACTCAGCACTTTAGTAGCGCTGAGTAATTATCTGCTCCTTATTTTTACTTGAGTAAGAATAAGATGTATTAGGGCCAGGCTAGAGATTTATTTATTTATTTTTTTTATTACGAGGATAAAGTCGTAACATTATATTATTACAACTTTATTCTTGTATTTTTTTCTTAAAGTGCCTAAAAAAAGGTTAAAACAGAGTATTATGAAATATGTTATGAAAGTACATTTTCCTTGGATCCATCTTTTCAAGTTTTTTTCCAGATTTTCTTACTTATATATGTTTATTTATTTATATTTCACTTTTTTCATATTTTTTTCTTTTCTTTTCATATTTATTTATTTTAATTATTATTATTATTATTATATTATATTATTACTTCGTTTTTCTCAGATTTTGCTTTCCTCTCATTTCCGACCACCCGTGGAGCTGTTTCCGCCACCCACTGGAGCTCCACTAAATTCTCTAATTTCCGGTACGTCATTCTTCTTCCGGTGATAGAGGGCAGCTCGCTTTAACGTAACAACTATCCCTAAAATCGACGAAATCCAACAAAACTATGGTATGTTTTAGCATCTGATGTATAATTAAGATCGCGGATTATACTTTTCTTCGAGGTTTAAAGGATGGGCGTTGCGTCAAATTGATGGTCTTTTTAAAACAACGTCCGGTAGATTCAGTAGCTAATGTTAGCATGACGTTTTTGCAGCACATTTAATTGGTGCAAAAAGAAATATCACCAACATTTGTTCTTCCTTTTTAGCGCAAACTAAGCTCTAACAATATAATTTGATGATTATCTGTTGTTTCAGACTTGGCAAATTGTAAACAGTTGAGTAGCATTTTCTCCGACAGAAAAGACTGTACATTTGCATTTAAAATGTGAAAATCTAGAAGTAAAACAAAAAATAATTTAGATCAATTAATCAATAACCAGAGTAGAGATACTCTAAAACATGCCTTTAGCTGACAGAGTGACCCACCTAGAGCTTAGAGCTGTAAAAAAAACAGTAGTGATTATCAACGACTGCAACTAAAAAGTTAGACAGGTTTATTCACATATAACTTTTTTTTTTCAGTCTCACACCATCCTGCTGGTACAGCCCACAAAGAGGCCAGAGGGTCGGACATACGCCGATTACGAATCAGTCAACGAATGTATGGAAGGTGAGCTGGTCAGGATAAGCCCCTACAACCATCTTCTTATAGATTTCTTCTGGCTTTTTTTTTTCTACACACCTAAATGTTTCAGATCATCAGACTTGTAATAAGGGGTGTTCTAATCCTATATTAATATCAGATATTAGCCAGAAAACTAATATCTGATTATCCCGGCTGGCATCTAAAATCTCTGATATTGTTATGCTGATAGAACAGACAATAGTCAGGTGTTCTCATACCTTTTGTTGTTGACTATGGTTCTCTCTTTTTGTAATATCACATGATCAAGCCTTTTCTGAAATTCTACAGTTCAAAATTATTAATAAAATTATTTGATTCATAGTAATCTTGGTATCGTTCCAGAAATGAAGCTGTAACTGGACAACCAAACTAATTGGGACATCAAAGATAATCTGAGTTCATATAAAAAAGTATAAAGATTTGTCAAAATCCTGTTTGTAAAGTAGGGTTGTCATGATGCTATTATGTCAATCTGCAATATCATTTCCAATGAAAACATGTCCTGATTTTTAAACGTTTAGTTTAAAACTTGTATGAAGAAGCATAATGAGAAAAAGGGACACTTTTTACTAAGGAAAATATCTTTTAATAACTCAGGTGTGTTGATTAATAAAGAGGAAGAGATGTAAACAATCAGACATGTTCTTAAACAGCTCTATAAAAGTATATGTAGTTGTTGTACGATGGCAGCCTTTGTGTTAATGGAGGAATTCAGAGGGAGGGTTTCCTCTGAGATCCTGCCATATGATGATGATGATGATGATGACTGGCTTACTAGCCGGTTTGGATTGTCCAGAGAAATCATCTCGTCTGGAAACCCACCTGCTTTACAGTTGTTTAGTGATGCATTTATCCCTGATCTGTGACACCCTGGCTATATTGAATGGTCTAATCCATGTGTTGCTCAGGTGTGTATAATTCCCATAAGTTTTGCCTGAAACATGAAAACTGCGATTAGAAGCCAAGACCGGATGCTCAAAAGGGATCAGAGCTACGGCTTATAAATGGGTGAAAACAAACTATGTTTTTCTGTGGCCTAGTCAAAGTCTGGGCTTAAAACTGATTAAGGATACTGTGGAATAAAATTATAGCATGACCTTCATGCTCAAACGTCTGAGTTCTCCTTCCTGAACACCAGTACTAATGAGCAAAAGCAGATGGTTGAAAAATGACGGCCATCATGGATTGATGTGGTTTTTGGTCCATCCCTACGTTTTTACTCATTCTGTCAGAATCTGGGATCAAAACGCTAATAAGGCAAATCTTCATTCAGAAAGTATTGCTTCAGCCGTCTAATCCAGAGTATTTTTGTTTCCTTTAGGGGTTTGTAAGATGTATGAAGAACATTTAAAGAGAATGAACCCCAACAGTCCATCAATAACGTATGACATCAGCCAGCTGTTTGACTTCATCGACGACCTTGCTGACCTCAGCTGTTTGGTGTAAGTTGAGCTACAGAAAATCCACAATGATGATGCTTTTTAATTTGTTATTGCCTTAATTATCATTTGTTTTTATCTTAACACTTTGACAATTGATTTACAAAAAAAAAACTTCACTCCCCTTGAACTTCACTATATGTTCTCTTCAAAGCCACAAACATATTGTAAATACCTCTGACTTAAATGTAAACCAAGGAACACAGCAGGTGAGGTATTATAAAAGCACCAGAATTGGCTGTATTGGAGCTGACTGCAATAATGTGTTCCAAAGGAAAACCAAGCACCATCAGATTTTCTCAAGAACCGCGCATTCAGGCTTCATAGAATGGGTTTCTATGGCAGTCATAACCATAGTCATTATATACGTAGATGCCTCATTATACTACGTTCAGACCGCACGCAGCAGAAGCAGCAAAAAAGCGCGTGCTGCCTCATTTTTGATGCTTGTATAAATTCAGTTCTGATGCGCAGCTGAAGCATCTTTGCTTCAGCTTTGCTTCAGCCGCTGTTGGGCGGAGCTAACCTATCCTTACTACGGATGTAACAATGGCGGATGAAATTGAGAGTCGCTTGGCTTATTTTAATGAATGCTACGTTCAGACCGCAAGGCCTGGGAGAAGCAGAAATCTTCTGCTGCTTCATTTTTGATGCTTGTCCACATTAAGGTCAGATGTTCAGTAAAGTGTGTCCAAATGCTTCTGCTGCCCCTGTGTTCAATGGCAGAGAGGTTTTGATATGTTTTTAAGTGAGAAAGTCCACTTGAAATCTTCATCTATGTGGTCAGTTCATCAAGATTACAATCCTGCCATGAAATATTATTTCGCTGTCAGAGCCGTTTAGACGCTGTACACTGATGGTGCTCTGTCCCTGGAAAACCTGTTCAGCTGCAGCCTCTGGCCTAGTTGCCTCTGTGGTTTTCCATTACTGTTTGCGGCGGCTAGGTTTTTTTCCATGTACGGAATCCAAACTGCTGGCATCAGAATAATAAAGTTGAACATATTTTGCCCACAGGTTTTGTCATTTTAAGTTAATTCAGACATTAATAAACTGTTTCAGAGGAGTGATTATAGCGATCTACATCTGCAGTGCTGTGTCTGTCCCCCTGCCAGTTCCCAGATCAGCTTTTCTGATTGGTCGATGTGGCGCGTCGAGCAGCAAAGTTTACATTTTTCCAACTCCAGCAGCTGCTGCTTTCGATGCTCAGAAGCTCAGAAAACGCTGCAGGACCTTTTGCTGCGCCTTGATCTCAACCATTGACTCTGATTTTAGACTAGCTGCTTCTGCAGCAGACGGTCTGAACGTAGCATTAGAAGAAGAGCTGTCAGCAGCGAGGTCGACACGTCTTGAAAGCAGCCATCTTAGGTCAGACCACAGTTCAGACAGCTGCAGCCAGAATGAATAGGAGGCCCTCAGATCTAATTTTGATCACATTGAGGATCAAGTCTATGGAAGCGTATTGCATTCACCAAAGGAAAAAAAAAATCTGACAACTTCATCATAATTACGAGATCATAGTTATGACATCTAACCTGTAATAAGGAGATAAAATCTCATAATAGTGAGATCAGTATCTCGTAATTAGGAGATCTTATCTCCTAATTACGAGGAAAGAAAAGAGAAAAGCTCTTCTTCTTTGTTCCTCACTCCAGAGGAAAGCCAGCCCCCAGGGGTGAAGAAATTGAGCTGTAAGTCATAATTTGAAAAGAATGCAATACGTAAAACTCCATCCTGAAAAGAGAAGATTGAATAAAGATTATGCAAAATCTGTAAAATAATAATATTAATAATAAAAAGTGGAAATTATAATATCAATAATAAAAAAATATTTAAAAGATAACATAAAAAACAATTAACATTTTTTTAAATAAAATCAGAGAAAACAGCAAAGGTACTCTCAAAACCTTTTGTTTATAAAATGTTTTTCAGATTTCAATTCCCAAAACGTTTTTTTTTTTCTTTTTTTGGTTGGAAAAACATTTACTCCATGTATTTGAGAGTCTCTGTTTGAGTGCCTTCAGGCAAAGCTGTTTATCTTTGTGTTCTGATCTGAAAATCCAGGAAGGGTCACAAGAATAACCCCTTTGATTTGGTAAATTTTAAAAGTATGGAATGTCCTAAAATCAATAATCTGTTCTGCCTCAGGTATCGTGCCGACACACAGACATACCAGCCTTACAACAAGGACTGGATCAAAGAGAAGATCTACGTGCTGCTTCGTCGTCAAGCCCAGCAGGCGGCCAAGTGAAGCTCCTGAGAAGATGCGGGGCACGGCGGGAGGGTGGCATGTTTTAAAGTTGCAGTTTTGGTGTTTTCATTTGAGCAGCATATTTTATACGATTTTGTTTGACTTATAATAAAGATTATGTGAAATAACACTATGTTCGCTATGCTTTTTCCATTTAGTCATTCGTATGTATGTGTTTAAGCCATAATAAAATTGTCCTTTTATTTCCGGACATAGATTCAAAGTCCTACATTCCTGTTTTTTTTTGTTTGTTTTTTTCCCTTTACTGTTTTCTGTTTTTTCATCTTTTCTCTGCTACAGCAACCAACTAAAAGTCTAATCTAGGGATGCAATCTACTGGTAATAGAAAATCAGATACAGATGTTCAGTGAAGGCCGTAAAGGTTTGAGTACTTTAATGAAAGGCTGCATAGAGGTAAAATACCACAGTGGATCAGAGATAAAGAGTTTATAGCAGAATTATGCTCTAAAACAATATTTAAACACCTGGTAAAATGTCTAATAAATCAATTATAAAAGGAAGATGGGATAACAGAAAAAACAACAGTTGTGGAGGAGGTGTACAGATCCTCAAGAAGACTGTTGTCGTTCACTCAACAGATCTGGCCTGTAGGAACTAAAAAAAAAATCTCAGCTCTGCTTTTTCATAAGCCATGCTGTGGACATGCCAGGGATGTGGAAGAATTACCCTTTCAGATAAAAAGATCTAACTTTAGGTCTATATTGCAATATTCATTGTCAGGAAAAAACATCCCATATGGTGATGGCAAGATCATGCTGTGGGGATGTGAGCTGATGGAAATTAGATGCAGGGAGGAAATCCTGTTAGGAGTTAAAAAAGATTTTCCTTCCAGGAATTACAGGGATCTGGGAAAATGTTTGTTGATATGTATCTTCTAACTCTAACCCACAAAAATGGTACCAGGGTCGACTCATGACACAAACTAGAGGTTGAGTGTACAGAACATATTTACCAAATTAATAAACCACACATGTAATAATATTACAATCAGCTTTAACCACTAAGTAATTTCGTTGCACCCCTGTGGAGCAATGACAATAAAGATTACTGATTTCTGATTCTGAAAATAGTCACTTTTGTCCATTATATGTAATACTTTCATACCTTTAGGCATTTAAAGAAATACACCCCACACGTCTATAAAAGACCCATGAGGTTAAAATCCCATCTTTGAAATTCAGTGCTTTCACCTAAGCTTGATCTATTTTACAAAGAAACTTTTTCCCATTTTTTACATGTTAAACAATATTAAACTAAATGTACATTTTAATTTTATTTCTTAATAATACTAATCTGATCAATTGAATTTTGTTGTTAAAAAGCAGCTTCAAAAACTATGCATCCAACTAAGTCTGGCCATATTAGATCTATCCTAAAAGTCTTTATGATTTAATTTTGAGTTTAATTGATATACTAAGCGAGAACAGATTCTGTGAGACTGTTAATCTTCTTTTGAGCAAAGTTAACTCAAAGATTAGTGGAATAATCTGCCAGTGAATTAATACAATAGCACTTGGTGAAACTTATTTAAATCAATATACTGATATTCTTCAAACAAGAAGTCCTACCAAGTGCAACTGTATCTCTGCATCTGTAATTAGCGCACTTTTTGAGTATTTAAAAAAAAGACGAATGATCCAACAAAATCTGCTTTTACATAGTATAGCAACCTCAAAACTACGTCAAAAATATTTATGGGTTGTGCAAAGGGAAAGCTAAGATTGTGTCTCGGCTAGATGGGCAGTTTTTACAGTGTGACAAGATGTAAAAAAGTTCAAGGTGCCATACCATATATTTTCTAAGCATTGATATATTGTTGATTATTCTTTGTTTTTTTTTTAAACAAAAAATTTTATCTGATATTTCTACTCAGGATGGTGTCACAGCCAAACAGACTAGATGAATATACTATAAAGATAAAAACTAGAGAGGAGAAAATTAAGGACTGACCTGACAAATAATGCAGAATGGAAGAATAGAGATGGAAGGATGTAAAGTGGTCCCTATGCCCTCCAGCAGCAAAAGCCTATAGCATCACAATTATAGGCTGAGCGACTCAATAAAAGGAAAGAAATTATCAAAAAGGAACGTTTTAAGCCTAGCCTTAAAACTAAATTAGAAACACCCAAAAGCATTAGTCTATTCTTTAAAATAATCGATCAGCCCTTATTAAACTTTCCCCAGATTCCACCTTCTGTTTTCTCCCCATTTTCTTCAGATTATTATATTATTTAGCTTTTACTTCCTAAGTTTATTAAAGGAAAAAAATCAATCAAATCCTCCAGTGAAGGAACGCACCGCTGAGGCGCGCGGATATTAGATGCGCGTGCGCCCGCCTGATGCGCGCAGGAGGCGGCCGCGCTGCTGAAGCTGGATCCTCTCCTCCTCTCATGTTTTTTTCTCTCTCTCCTTATCCTACCTTTGTGTTGTGATCGCAGTCTGTTTTCTCACACCCACTCCGGCGCCCCCTACCACACCCCTCCTCCTCCTCCTCCTTCATCCCACCCTGTCCTCCCCCCTCCACCTCCTCCACCCCCTCTCCTCCTTTTAGCATCTGAAAAGACCACTGAGTGAGAATCGATGGCGCAGAGGCCCGCTTGACAGGACAATAAACCACAAAAAAAGGGGTGAGGGTGGTTTGTTTTTTTTATCCTCTCTTTCTTTAAATAGCAGAATTTATTCCAGCGAGAAGGAGAATCGCTCACTGCGAGAGGAGATATTTAACACAAGGCATCTTTTGTTACCGCGATATGATTTACAGAAGGCGTGGAGAGAAAAAAAAAATAGGGGTAAAAAAAGGATCTGGATCGCCTCGGATCTAAATTGAACATGAACCCACATCACCTTATGTAACCTAGAAACGCGCCGGCGGTCCCTGGTCCTGCGTGTAGCCGGGGATCAGCGCGCACTTTGCCGCTGCAGGTTTGGATGAAGCGGTCGCTTTGCCTGGATTTCATTGGGCGCTGCGGTACCTAGAGGGGTTTTAATGCGGTGGTCTGCTTGTAAACAAACGCCATCGGCAGAAGATGGGGAGAAAGCCAGAGAGTAAATGCTGGATCAGACTGCTCCTCATTCTCCCCTGTAGCCATGAGGAGAGGAGAGTCACATCCAAGGCGCAGGGGAGCGTCTATTTACAGCTGATCTGCCCTCACGTCTGTTTAAAAGCCACAACAATATCTGGTGTTTCCCTTCACCATCAGCCTCGGGCGCAATCAATACCTAGAAATATGATGCTGCCGCGGGTATAGATCTGGACCGGGCTCTCCAGAGAGAGAGAAAACTGATGAATCATATATTGATCGTTATGTGTCTCTCATGAGATGAAGGTGTGTTTTGTGGTAACCTGGTGTGACCTCATATCCAGCCTCCCTCCCGCAGCGATGCTCCAGCAGAGGAAGGTCTGGTCTCCATCTCGCCGCCTCGGCCTGGTGTCAACCCGCCTGCAGACGCTGAAGAGCGGCTGCAGCTTCCCATGAAGCCCCCACCTGAACGCACCACTCTGCATGGGGCCTCTCACATGTAAAGTATGCTCACACAGGCTCCACTTTTCTTTTTTAATCAGATTAAAACCATCCACACTGCAAAAACACTCTTAAATTAAGTGTATTTACCTTTAATTACAGTAGGTAAATAAGGAATTAATATATTTACTCCTAAAATAAAATAATTAGACAATATGCACTTGAAATAAGAAAAAGCAATTGTTTTTTTTTTCTTATTTTAAATGTAAATTGTCTTATTACATTGGCAGTGTCTCACTTTCCTCCTCAATTCAAGACAAAATACACTTATTTAAGTTTCTGCAGTGGAATAATAATCCAAATCTGACAAGTAGAGCTGTTTTTGCTCATCAAAATCTATTAATTTCTCACATATACAATATTTTTTGATGATTTTCCTCACATTTTATCATAAAAACATCAACATAATAAAAAAAAATGCCTGGATCTATTCAGTTTTGTCTTTTAGGAGGCATTTTTTCAGAAAATTTCTAAACATCAAAGTTAAGATAGTTCTGATTATAAGGTTAAGGATAAAAAAATATAACTGATATTGGATCTTTCAAAATGTTGATGGGTATCTTACATGACCATAAGCGTTGTGTTTTTATAAAAGAACTGTTGTTTTTAAGGAGATAACAATAATTTAGATTTTGCTGTGAATGTATAATGGATGTGTGCTGCTTGATTTAGTCTGCTGTTATACATCACTTCTTTAAGTTTTCTTGTGTTTGCTCAATTTTATCTTAATTTTGTAAAGAAAAGTCCATTAACATTAAATACAAAAACAAAAAACATCATAAAGCTCATGAAATAGTGTTAAATCACAACAAAATGCATGGTATTGGAATTACACACAAACACAAAGTAATGCATAATTGTATAATAGAAGATAATTTCATAAACATAGACTATCTATGTAATGTGATTATAATAGACATATTAATCTGAGGTTATAGACTATCATATTCCGATACTGTAAGTGTGACGGATGTATTCGGCCCTAGTGAGTGTAACACTTTTTTTAAACCACCTGCAAATAAAGGGGAGAGCTTTTGTGAGAGGTGGTTTAAAGCAATTTTACAGACATTTATTCTGTTTTAGGGCTGCAACTAACAATTATTTTTCAAATCGATTAATCCGCTGATTACTGTTTAATCAATTAATAATTGGATAGAAAAGGGGCACCTTTAAGAAGATTTTTTACAGAATATAAACCCTGATAAGATAAAACTTTTTCACTGAAGGGGTTCTAATTCACAGAGTAAGAAAAGCTTTTCCATCTTCAATGCAAAATATTTATATATTATTTAATAATTTTGGCATAATTACTACTCTGAAGAGGTTTCTTTTTTTGGTAATCACATTCAGTGGGGTCTGTCTACTCCATTTGATGATTCGTTGATTATTAAATTAGATGAGAATTATTTTAATAATTGATCAATTATTATTAATCCCATTAAGTGTTTCAACCCTATTCTGGACTTTGATTGGGCCTTTCTATCACATGGATATGCTCTGAAATAAATCTGGATTACAGTACATTCCTATGTACTCTTACCAGTCTCTCTGTCTCTTTGTAGCACTGAGAGAACATATTTGTTATTAGACATGGGATTCCTGTTGATGAGGATTGGAGGACTGGGAAATTGTAAATTACTTTCTTTGCTGAAGGAAAATATCCCCACTGCATGATGCTGCCATCCCTATGTTTTACAGTGGCAAATGTGTGCTGTTAGTTTTCCCTCTCAACTAGCATTTTGCAAATTTTAAAAACTCCGGTAAATTCAGTTTAGTCTCTTTCATCATGATCAACTTAAAAGAAGTTACGCTCTCGCCTGAAATACTTTTAACAGACACCCAAACTCAACTCCCAGATGATATACAGTACCTGCTTATCTGACAGCCATGTGTTGGTGTGTATCTAGTTGTTCTGTCTTCTCTTGATTTTATGTTAGACTTAAATCTTCTCTGTTATATGTTCTATCTTTTATTTTCTTCTTCTAATCCAGGGGTCTGCAACCTTTCATATCCAAAGAGCCGTTTTGCCCAGAGTCTGACCAAGTAAAAGTTTTTTAGAGCTGCAAAATATAACATGACTTTTTCTAGAAAACTTTTTTTTTTAAATCTTGTATAGGAAATCAGCTGTTGCCATCTCAAACAATCAACAATTCATGTATTTTTAATGTTAAAACATATAATTTTCAAGCTAATTCATAGAAAAATGTCTCTTAAAACATATTTCTGGTTCTTTTAATCTCATTCTTTTCCATCTTATAAAAAACGCTAAAGCTATTGATACCGGTATATATTATAGTAAATTATTTGGCTCTTTATATACATTTTAACTACTATTAAGAGCCGCTGGAGAGGGTCCAAAGAGCCATATGTGGCTCTGGAGCCGCAGGTTGCAGACCCCTGTTCTAATCTAACACTTCTAACTCTAACGCTTAGAGTTCTAACACAGAACTCTGACACAGAACGCCTGGATTTGTACTAGATTATTTGACTTTTTTTTTTTTTTTTTTATTAGAGTCATCTGAAGGGAATTTTATGCTTCTGGTTGGCAGCTGGCACACCACATTTTTCAGATTTATAATTATACAAACTTTGAAAAGTGCAACTTTCTGTTCTTGCAACTGTGTTGCTCCATTTTATAAAGCCCCATTAACCTTTTTTATTTTTTCTCTGAAAACTGTCTAATCACTACGCCTGATTTGACATTTTCTGAAACATTTTATTTAATTTTTTTTTCGTAGTCCCAGTGTTTGGGGGCCTTCATCTAAGAACCCAATCAAGCCCTTATCATTGCACTTCCACTCCCCTACTCAGCAGCTTGTGAGCTAATTTTATTAGAGTTTGCTGTTTAGTGAGAATACACATATTGAAGTTATTGTTCTCGTTAACATTGGATCAGTTGCACTGACCTTAGCCTAACCAGGTGAGGATTTAGTGCTTTAGATGCAGGTCTGGTTATCTGAAGGCCCTCCTGGATGAGATGTGGATCAGATGTTGTATTTTTCCGCCTGGCCAACTCCAGGGAAGTTTTACCACTTTTCCATGCTCTCTATGAATATAAGAATGATAACAGATTTATTGAATTTCAAAGGCAGTAAAAGTGGTTTTGTTATCAGACTAAAAGTAATACTTGTCTTTATTTTTCACTTGTTCTGTAATCGCCTTAGATTTGGGCACTATCGATCTAATGCCTTTTTAAGGATCTTTTCGCCTACTTCATGTTGTCATACTGGTTCTATTTGAAGTCACTAGCTTGGTTCTACAGGTTAGGCAGTAATCAGTCCTGGGTGTTGTTAGTTGAAATAGAAAAACTTGATTTTTAGTAGATTAATCCAAGGGTTGTTTCAGATTCTCTTTTTTCTTAAAAAATATAAAACAATTTTTCTACCTTATCAGATTGTCTTTGTTGGATATTGAAATCAACTGATCTGAAAAATCCAACAGCAAAAAAGGCAAATTAAAAAAACTGTTAGAAGGGAAATAAAAAAATAAAAGTAATAAGTGGATGGATTTTTCTTTGTGTCTGATCTGCATGATTTTCTGTTGTTGTTTTTTAGAATGAGACTTCGCCTTGTGTATCACAAAAATGATCACTCCAGTGATGGGGATGTTCTTGGCATGTAAACAAGAAAGAGCAGGCAGAGAATTTTAAAAACCAAAGCCCTGATCTATAAAGATCACAATAACGAGTGCTTAACCGCTCATGCAAAAGAAAAAAAAAACTGTGTGTGCAATTAGCAGAGTTGTTGCCGATTATATACCGTGACTGGTTACTTTATTGCAAACAATTGATGCACTTGTTTGCCAAAAAAAACAAAAAAACTTAAAACCTAATAATCACAAAACAGCAGGAAACATTTTTATTCTATCATCAACCCTAAAGGATAACTAAAAGGGAAACCAGATGAAAAGTAGCTGCTGCAGTCACTTTTCAAAGCTGTGGTGCATTTTTCAGCACCACAGCTTTGTGAACAGTGACAAAGAAAAGCTATTTATGTCAATTAAGTACATTTCAGTATATTGTAAACTAGTTAACTAAACATTTTAACTAGATAACTAGTTAATATAAAACACATTTTATCACTAAGAGAAAACTTCCACACTTCTATGTAAAGAGAGCCTGAATATTTGTAATTATGGAAAATCTCTATTTCCATCATCACAACATATGTTGCAAGCTGCAAAGTATGAGTAAACAAGTGGAAGGTGATATAACACCTTGCACTTGACTTAGCAGTCTGACAAAAACTAGACAGCACATCAGAAAAGCTAGCTGTGGAGATGTTATGAAACACACTGATGCAGTGGAATATAGAAGTTTTTCCAAATATGCACATGGCTCCTAGTGACTGGGCTAGTAAATTCCTTTGCTTATCCTCCTCCCAGTATTTTGCACATTCTGATAATCAGCACATGTTTAGATGCACTTTCGTGTGCATCTGGTTATTAGATCAGCTTTTTAACAAACCTGCAGATTTTTTATATAATAAAATCTTTAGTAAATCAAGTCCAAAGTGTAAAATCATCAGGTAAGGTGGATTAAACAGTAATGTTGGTGGTGTGGTGGTGGGTGGATGTTTGGGAGTTCCTTGGTGAGTTTTCTGCTTAAAAATATTATATCAAACTCAAATTCTTGGATTAATAGATCCCCACCTTTCTCTCAGCTGACATGGAGGATGAAGATGGGACTTGTCTACTTGATGTTTTGTGGTGAGTCTCTAATGTTTGTTTGCATTTAGACTCTTTCAAGGTAGCCTGTGACTTTCTAATGTGTGGAATAAAACAACCGGATCAAAACATGCTAACAAGTGTCTGAAAATTAGTCAAAGTAACAGTTTTTGCAACACATATCCTCATTGATTTCAGCCTTTTTTGTTGTTGTCGTTCTGCTCTTCTTGTAGTGACCCCCAAGCCCTGAATGACTTCCTTCATGGGACCAGTGAGGTAAGAAGTGATTCACAACCTTCAAACCTTTCTAGGATTGTGACTGAGGAAGGAAAATGACACCAGGCTTAAAACGATTTCTTAAAAAATTTGAGAAATATCTGAAAAGTGCGGTGTACAGTGATGCATGGCTGCAGAGAACTACAGCTCAGGTTGAAGAGCCTGTTTGTAGTGCCAGTCGATGCTCTCCACATCTGTGTGAAAGAAAGAATAAAGAAATATGTGAAATAAAACCATAAAAAGACTCATTTTCAGTCCAGTTTGCCTCCACCAAGGAGGCACAACTGTTTTGAGACTAAACTTCATGGCCTGTCAACTAAATAGTACAAACACACTCAAACTTTACCTTAGGAGAAGTTTAGATTGATCAATCAAATTAAAAGTCATGGTTTTGGACCAAGGGGAAGTTGGAGTACCCAGAGAGAACCCATATGTGCATATAGAGAACATGCAAACTCTACGCAGAAAGATCTCAGCCCAATAATGAATGAATAAATTAATGTAAGGACGGATGGTCAGATGGATGATGCACATCAGTAACCCAAAACTTTCAACCAAAAACTCCTTATTGACTTTAGCAGCACTTGTTTATGTAGTTTCTGCTTTATTTGAATCACCTGTATATTTATCTTTGTCAAGTTTTAATCAACTAAATTTTATATTTTTGTCGACTACAGTCACATTCAGTGAATCAGAATATTATTGAAGAGTTAATTTAGTTCAGTAAAAGACAAAAACACATTATATAGATCATTAACTGATAATGAATACAGAACATTACATCAGACAAATAAAATAAGATTAAAGAGCTGTTGGCTTATATTATTATATTTAACATAAATGTGTCTTAGAAATTTAACCAACCAAGAGGTTGTTATAAAGGGGGAAAACATTTGATAGAGCCTCCTAATCCTTATGGGAATGTTTTCACCCCCTAACACTCCGACCCAATCTGAATATGAATTCACACCAGTTTAAGCCCTTCCACTTTGCAACTACGCACTGATTTGTTTTGATCTATCCCAGTGAGATGCTCTGATATCTGAGATACTCTTTGGATCATAAGGAATCAGACTTGGGGAAATTTTTGCAGGAGGAAAGGCAGCATTTAAAGAGGGTCCTAATCTAACATTAAATGCATATTTCCCCTCGCTTAAGGTGGCCAGATCTAAAATAGACTGCTTTTTCTCCCACCAGCTGCAGACTGAGGACCTGCTCATTAACTCCTCCTCTGGGGAGCCCTCCCTCTTCACAGATGCCCCGGTGAGTGTCTGGATGTACAGCCAGCAGCGTCACAACAACCTGCACTAACCCCCAGAAGGATCCTGTTTTTCTCTCCATTTTGTGCCTCCTGTTAACGCTGGCTAATCACACAATATTCCCCCACCCCACCCTTTTATCCCACCACCCTGCCTCCTCTGTTGTCTGTGTCTCTCTCCCACTGTTTCGTCCTCCAGAGTCCCGTCTCGCTGCTGGGAGACGGCAGGGACTGCCCAGACACGCCCCCGCCTGGTTGTGTGGATCTGTCCTTCCTGGAGGAGGCTCTCTTATCATCTCCAGAGGGTGGAGAGGACTCCGAAGCTGTGCAGCCTCCTGTGGAGGCTGGATGTGAAGCAAAGGCGGAGGGGGTGGGGGAGGCGGAGGTGGCGTGTGATATCCTCCAGCAGAGTCTGCAGGAGGCTGAGATCACGGAGCAGACCATGGCCCTGGAAGCAGGCCTGGCTCAAACAGGAGATGGTTTGTCCCTGTACTCCCCCGCTCCTCTCCTCTCTCCACCGACTGTGCCATTCATCCCCAAATCTGTCACCTTGCCGGTTGCTACAACGTTACCCAGGGACACCCAGGCAGCAGTCGAGCCCCCACAGCCCTCCCTGCTGGCTGTTGGACCAGGTTGCCCATCTCTCAAACCTGCAGCCCCGGCTCAGCTGATGGGACTCCTGCCTGGAAACGTGTTTCCTGCTCCGTCTCCGGACAATTCCTTCTCCCTGAGTCCCGCTCAAGGTTCCAGCATGATCATCCACAAGGCTGTCCCCAGTGTCACCACCCGCCCTCTCCTCAACCCGCCTCTCAGAGCTGCAGCAGCACCAGCACCAAGCATCGTCCTGCAGCGTGCCCCACTCCCTATTCAGCCCAAGCTGCCCATCAGCATTCAGCCCAGACTGGTCCAGATTAGCCCCAAGCCCTCAGGGCAGAAAGCCACCTCTGGTCTCACATTTGTCCCTGCCACTGCTTCTCCAAACATGTTACTCTCCCAAGCTCCAGGCCAAAAGACCGTAGCTCCGCAGCCACAGGCAGCACAGCAGCTCTCCAAACCGGTCAGCCTGCAGCTGGTCAACCAGGGCGGCTCCTTCGTGCTACAGCCTCAGGGACTCTTCCAAGGTCAGAACCAGTTTCTTCTTCCAGGCCAGTGTCCCGTCACAATCTCCCAGCCTGTCCGAGCGGTCCAGCCTCTCCTTACCCCCAGCCATCAAGGCCCATCTGTTCACAGTGTGGCTGCCTCCACTGGGCAGCTTGTGGATGGTTCTCAGATCCTAACTGTTCCCCAAAGACAGCTGAACTTCAGCCCAGTCTTCACCACTCCTACAGGGCAGCTAGCTCTCCGCCAGGCCACCGTTCTTTCAGGATCGCTGCAGCTGCAGTCAGCCCCCGCTACTGTCTTCCAGATGCCAGCACAGCTGGCTGGAGCTTACACAGCCGGAGGGCAGGGGCAGCAAGCCACCCTGGTCCACAGTCCTGCTCTTGGGAACCACATCACCTTGATCAACAGTTCAGGGGTGCTACCCCAGGATCTGACTTCCATCTCTATTGTCAACGGCGCCTCTGTTGTTCAGGGGCTGCCGTTCGCTGCCCAGGCGGCGGCTCACCAGGCGGGGCTGACAGAAGGACAGCTGAGCCTGCAGCGGGCCTCTGTGGTGCTGCTGCCTGAGAGGCCTGTTCAGGAGGAGAGGAGCATCTCAGAGGAGGCCTTCCAGCAGCTGCAGCAGGTGAGCTTCACTGCTGTCACAACAGAAAAACCATGATGTCCGGTTTTATCAAGGTTTACTTTAGTATCAGTGACTCACATTTGAAAAATATATATTTTTGAACAGTTTTATGAAAAACTGTCCTTAGTTTAATATATATATGATTTGAAAGCCCTCAGTTTCAACAAGACTGAACCAGAAGTGTTTATTATTAAATTGTATTTTTTTCCCTCTTTGAATACATTTGAAAAACATGTAAAAAAAAAAGTGTCAATACTTTTTTAAGGCACTGTAGAGACCTTTTGCGGAAGCTGGTCATACAACCTCATGTGTCAGAGCAAATTTAGGATCGTTCAACCTTAAAATTATGGAAATATAATCTCAAAGGTACAAAAGGCTATTGGTGGAAAACCTATTTGCAAAGATATATATATATATATATATATATATATATATATATATATATATATATATATATATATATATATATATATATATATATACACTCACAGGCCACTTTATCAGGTACACCTGTCCAACTGCTCGTTAACACTTAATTTCTAAGCAGCCAATCACATGGCGGCAACTCAGTGCATTAAGGCATGTAGACATGGTCAAGACAATCTCCTGCAGTTCAAACCGAGCATCAGTATGGGGAAGAAAGGTGATTTGAGTGACTTTGAACGTGGCATGATTGTTGGTGCCAGAAGGGCTGGTCTGAGTATTTCAGAAACTGCTGATCTACTGGGATTTTCACGCACAACCATCTCTAGGGTTTACAGAGAATGGTCCGAAAAAGAAAAAAACATCCAGTGAGCTGCAGTTCTGTGGGCGGAAATGCCTTGTTGATGCCAGAGGTCAGAGGATAATGGCCAGACTGGTTCGAGCTGATAGAAGGGCAACAGTGACTCAAATAACCACCCGTTACGACCAAGGTGGGCAGAAGAGCATCTCTGAACGCACAGTACGTGGAACTTTGAGGCAGATGGGCTACAGCAGCAGAAGACCAAACCGGGTGCCACTCCTTTCAGCTAAGAACAGGAAACTGAAGCTACAATTTGCACAAGCTCATTGAAATTGGACAATAGAAGATTGGAAAAACGTTGCCTGGTCCTATTAGTCTCGATTTCTGCTGCGACATTCGGATGGTAGGGTCAGAATTTGGTGTCTACAACATGAAAGCATGGTTCCATCCTGCCTTGTATCAACGGTTCAGGCTGGTGGTGGTGGTGTCATGGTGTGGGTAATATTTTCTTGGCACTCTTTGGGCCCCTTGGTACCAATTGAGCATCGTTGCAACGCCACAGCCTACCTGAGTATTGTTGCTGACCATGTCCATCCCTTTATGACCACAATGTACCCAACTTCTGATGGCTACTTTCAGCAGGATAATGCGCCATGTCATAAAGCTGGAATCATCTCAGACTGGTTTCTTGAACATGACAATGAGTTCACTGTACTCAAATGGCCTCCACAGTCACCAGATCTCAATCCAATAGAGCATCTTTGGGATTTGGTGGAACGGGAGATTCGCATCATGGATGTGAAGCCGACAAATCTGCGGCAACTGTGTGATGCCATCACGTCAATATGGACCAAACTACCTGAGGAATGCTTCCAGCACCTTGTTGAATCCATGCCACGAAGAATTGAGGCAGTTCTGAAGGCAAAAGGGGGTCCAACCCGTTACTAGCATGGGGTACCTAATAAAGTGGCCGGTGAGTGTATATATATATATATATATATATATATATATATATATATATATATATATATATATATATATATATATATATATATATACTGCTCACCCAATGCGGGTGGTCTCCCTTTTCCCTCCAAGCTCAGCTCCTCTACCAGAGGCCTGGGAGCTTGAGGGTTCTGCACAGTATCTTTGCTGTTCCCAGAACTGCACTTTTCTGGGCCGAGATGTCTGATGCATTTCCAGGGATCTGCTGTAACCACTCCTCAAAGTTTTGGGGTCAATTACCCCGAGTGCCCCAATGACCATGGGTACCACTGATGCCTTGACCTTCCATGTGTTCTTCAGCTCTTCTCTGATTCCTTTATTCTGATGTTACAGTCACTTGGTGTTGTTATGTCAACCACAATGGCTTTTCTCTGCTTTTGTCCTCCACCACAATGTCTGGTTGGTTTTCCATGACGGAGTCTCTGGCACCTCATCTTCTGTTCCCCATTGTCTGAGACATTCACTGAGCGTGTCATCTGTTGGAGCCTTGTCCTTGATGTACTTATGGATCTTGGATGTTTCATCCTGGATAGTGGCTCTCACGCTCACCAGTCCTCAGCCTCCTCCCTTTCGACAGTCTCAAGGTGCTGGATTTGGGGTATCCAGTGCCCTCCATGCATGGTTAGGAGCTTTCGTATCTTAACATCTGTGGCCTGTATCTCACCCTTTGTAGAGCTTATTATTCCTGCTGGGAATCTGAGTACTGGTAGAGCATAGCTATTTAGTGCCAGAGACTTATTCTTGTCTTTGAGCTGACTCATTAGGACCTGCCTCACTTGTTGGAGGTATTAGGCCGTAGCCACTTTCCTTGTCACCTCTTCGAGGAGGCCATTTCATTATGGGATTATGAGGTACTTGTAACTGTCCTTGATGTCTGCTATTGTTCGTCTGGGAGTGAGACCCCCTCTGTGTGGACTACCTTACCGCTCTTAGTCACCATCCGACCACACTTCTCTAGTCCAAATTACATCCTGATGTCTTTCCGGATGGTATGGATCAATGAGTCGATATCTCACTCATTCTTAGCGTACAGCTTGATATCATCCATGTAGACAAGGTGATGGCTCCGTTCCTTAGTCAGTAGCCCTAGCCAGTGTTGCTGATTATTTGGCTGAGGGGGTTCAGGCCTATGCACAACAGCAGTGGAAACAACAAATCTCCTTGGTTTATGCCACATTTGACGGAGACTTGTGCAAGTGTCGTGCCATTGGTCTCAAGGGTGGTTTTCCACAACCTCATTAAGTTTGCAATATAGGCTCTAAGGGTCTATATGTAATGCATATAGACATATGGAATGCATATATATATATATATATATGCATTCCAATCACAATAGTGAAGGTGTGATGCTTTACGCTAGTTTTATTGCCACAGCAATGACACTCCTCAGTCTAAAACAAGGCAGACAGCACTATGAGGATCGCACTCTTTGATTTTTCCAGTGCATTTAACATGACTCTGTCTGACTTACTTTGTGTGAAACTCCAGCAGACTATTGTGGAGGCATCAACAATTGCCTGGATGAATACCTACCTGAAAAACAGACCACAGTTTGTTAGACTGAAGCTGTCTAATTCAGTAGTCCGCAGCACAGGAGCAACACAGGGGACAGTACTCTCGCCGTTGCTTTTTACTCTGTACAGAGTCCGGAATTTGATCCTGAATGTCAACAAAACAAGGGAGATGATTGTAGATTTCAGAAGAAACAGGAAAAGGTTGAATCCTGTTATGTTGAATCCTTCATTAAGAGCCAGACCTCTATAGAAGATCAGTTATTTTCAGTTGCAGCTTTTAACATTTACAACAGCGGATTAAAAATAACAATAAGGACTTACAAGATTAATTTATGAATTAATCTCAAAACCAGAACATTTTGTTTTCTGAGTCATAAGATGATTGTTTATTCTTTCCCAAAATGAAAGAACTATTTCTAAAAATGTTTTGCTAGTGATGCTAATCCAGTCGAGTGTTGTCTTGACTGTAGTGTGTCTCCCTGCAGCCCTTTGGACACGTCGTCCAGCATGTCTCAGTGCAGTCCAACTCTGCAGGGCTGCGGTCCTCTCCTCCTCCTGTAGTCGCAGTGTTACAGCCCCATCCTGAGCCTCCTCTTGCTCCTGAAGCCGCTGTGGAGATGCCCAAACTCCTGATGCCCACAGCAGACCTCAAACACATGGTGGAAGAGGTCACCCACTCCATGAGTCAGAGCCAGGCCTTTATGCAGCACATGCCACAGGTCAGTGCATGTGAGGTCTTATGCACATTCCTTCTCTCTGACGTGTTGTACGGTACTTTAATGTTAGTGTTTTAGGGAGATCCGTGTGACACACCAGCAAAAAGAGGATCACAAAGTAGAAGAGAAGGAATATTAAACATGTCAGTGCTTTCTCTGCTAACTTTCCAGACTTGAGGACCAGTTTATTGTTGTAAAAATGTTTCAATCTCTGTCAGAAGAATTTGAAGAAAAAGAAATGAGAAATATATGAGAAAACCTAAAAGTTGTACTCAGAACCTTTTTTTTTATTATTAAAACAGCACATTTTCCTTTACAAAACATGTTATTTGCTTGCAAGACCAATGGAAGAAAATTCACTCCATACATGCCCCCAGCCCCCACTTAAAGTTTTAAACATTACGGTAGATGATGTATAACAAAAATTGAGAAGTAGAACAGCTTTGTTCAAAGCAGAGTTTAATGTCTAATAGAGAGGTTGGCCTAAATGATGCTCTGATGTTCTCCACCCACAGCAGGAGGCTCTTGGTTCTCCCATTCCTTCTGAACTAATGGTTGCAGCCCTCCCCGCTGTACCCATTGATCCCCTCGCCTCCCCGGTTGGCAGCGACAGAGAGAACCAACCCCAGCCTGGTGCTGCATCTGAACCGGATCCTAATGTCATCTCGGCCGAGCGTGGTGAACTTTCTCCACATCCTTCTGACCCTGGGGACACAGCTCTCCCCTGCTCCCCATCTATGGTTCAGGAAGCAGTGAGACCAGCATCTGTAACTTTCTCCCCTCCAGCCGGGCCTCCGACTTCAGCTTCCCAGCCCCTCATGGAGGCCCAAGTCCAGTACCAAGCCCCCCACCAGCACCAGGTCCCACAGAACTTATTTGCTGAGGCGCAGGCAAATGTTCCTCCGTCTGCCCCCCAGCCTCAGTCTACGAACGCCACTCCAGCCCACAGCAGTCCGTCCCCTCTGCATGTCAGCATCTCTGTGCCTCAGCAGCAGACTGCACATCTCTCTAAAGAGGGAGACGAGTCTGCTGTCCAACAGCACACACAAAACAGTGAGTTCAACTACAGCTGATTAGGAACCTGTATAATGGTTTCCTCCAATAGTAGCTCCACCGTAATCATCTTTGTGTCTTTTCCCAGAGCCCACAGCTGCCTTGGAGAGTGAGACCTTTACTCTCAATGTGCATCCACCCTCACCTGCAGATCAGGGGGCTGGAGTTCCCAGGCATCCTGTTCAATGCGGACCCTTTCAGGGGAGCCAGAAAACCAGCCAAAAGGTTCCACATATTATTTGGCACGATGTAGCTATTAACGCTTAATTATTTTACCTAAAACTCAAGCTTGAGTCCAGTTTTTCCTATTATAATTGATGTGTCCATCAGTTGGCAGGTAATCTGGAGCTGCAGAGGGAGGAGAGGCTCACACCAGCAATGCGCAGACACAGGTAAGAGGTTCAAGTAAATGTCAATTAAAATCGAAGGTTAAGGTTTATAGTCCTTATTGAAGAAATTATTTTGTTGCTCAGTTATTGCTTTCTGTCCTCTTTCCTGTTTAGTCAAGTGTGTTAAAGAGCCAAACAAAGCATCAAAACGTTTAAGAATAAAAGCTTTTTTGGTTCTTCCGCTGCAAAACTAACCGTTAACTTCCCAGTCATCGCACCGGTTTTAGTTGCGAACTGTCCTGCTTTCGTTAGATTCCAGCAGCAGCTTTGTTTGGACCATGGAGCTGTTCAGAACCCGATCACACGGCCGGCATTCACCTCTCTGAAAGACGCTGTCAGATGCCTCCTGCCGTACCACACCTGTGCCGGTCACCTGCCCACTCAAGATGACTTCAATACAGGTTTACACGCATCGTTTGATAATTTAAGTCTGAAAATCTAACAAATCTGTGTGAATATGATGTAGAATTAAATGCCTCCCTCTTAACAGTCGACCAGGAGTTTGACACTGTGTCCGGTTTCCTGCTGAAACGCACCAAGGATATGGTCAACAAATACAGGCAGCTACTGGTAAAGGAAACCCAGGTGAGACATTTCACATTTTCTATGTCTATATAGTTAGAATAACCAAAGAACAGAAGGTTCATTTCCAAAAGCTCTGTGAGCAGACTGCATGTTTTTGCTTTCTAGATACTGGGGTGTATTTAGTTATCTTGTGGCTTGAAAAAAAGATTCTGCTTACTTAAACTTTTAGCTTTCATACTTTCTTTTTCATCCAACAACTTTAACTGAAAAAACTGCAACCAGTTGTCACCTAAATAAGAATATAAAATGCAGATGTGTGTAAATCAATGTCACTATAAACAGCAGTTCTTCGAAGGCCTAGAATAGTTGTCATAGCTGTTATTAGTGAATATTAGTGTATATGCTTAATATAAGAAACCAGGCAAGGGAGGTATTAGTCAGAGAGGTAGCCACAGATATCCGCAACTCAAATGGGGAAATCTGTTTAGATCAGTGATTTTTAAACTGTCTGTAGGACCCATTGACCTGCATGTTTTAAATGAGTCTCTGCTCCAGCACACCTGCATCAAATAACTGCAATCCTTTCTTAGCAGCAACCATGGGCTGCAGGGACCTGCCAGTCCCCCATTTATTTAAACCAGGTGTATGGAGGCATGGAAATACCTAAAACATGCAGGACAGTGGTCCGAGTTTGAAAACCATTGGTTTAGAGGACAAACAGTAGTTGTGCACAAATCTGACCTTGTTTTGCCCAACTGGATGGGCATCTGTAACAAGGTGTATGGACTTTTACTGGACTGCTTCTGCAGCACAAACAGAGTGCAGATCTAGTAAACAAAATCCCACAATCCCCAGTGCTCTTATACATAGTCCAGCCTTAAAACCAATTTGGAGTCTGTGGCAAGAGCCCAGAAGTTCCCAAAGGCTGTTCAGAATGAAGATGGACTGAATGAAAAAACATCATTAATGTCTATATGTGCAAACTTATCCTCTAATTACAGTAAATGATGAGAGGCTGAGTGCAAAACAATTTTTTTAGGTTTTAAATTGTAAGCAAATTTTCCCTTCACCACTTGGCACTTGTTTCAGCTCTAATTCATTCTAATCTATTACATAAAATCCCAATGAAATAAACAGACATTTGTGTTTTATAAAGAGGGTTACAACTTGAGCAAGGCTTTGACTCATTATTTATATTAGAACAGAGGCTAACTCACACCTCAGGCCTGTTTCTCAGTGTCTGACGACGTCTGACCTGGTCTTCACAGCAGGAGAGTCCGTCAGCAGAGATGGTGATGCTGGAGCGTCTCTTCCTCCAGGCTGAGAGGTACGCGTTAGCAGAGGAGAGGCGGCGGGCTCGCAAAGATCCAGGTCAGTGTTTCACCAGGGGGAGCAAGTATCACTACAAGGAGTGTGAGAACATTTAATATGACTCAGGAAAGTGATTGAATGAGTGCCTCTTTTCTTTTCTTAGACATTTGAAGTGGTACCTCAGGGCACTGCACTTAACCTCTATATTTGTTCCAGCAGAACTCCCAGGAGTGAATGACTGATTAAGATGTTTAAATGTAGAGCGGGGTCGTCTGAAGAGGGCGGCCTGATGATTGAAAATTATATGTGAGAAGTTGAAGGCAAATTAAAGCTGTATTTATGTTAATTAAGAACCTGAATGAAGGAAGGGGACTCTTGATAGCTGTTAAATGTCAGGCCTGGCCGCTGTTAAACTCTGGAGCCCCTTAGAGAATGTCATTAATCTGAAATCTCATTTATAATCTCAGTTAATGAAGACATTCTCATGTATTGGATTATATTTATCACAGTGGATGTCTAAATGTATAAGCATCAACATTTGATTGATGTTTTTTCTATAGATTTATTTACAAAATTATTTAACTTTTAAAGGAAGGTAGATTACTGCCCTGTGAGGGCATTTGCATTGCTTTATCGTGGTCATTTTGTCATGTTAAATTCCTCAACTTTATTTGATACTATTGGGATTTTACGTGATAGACCGACAGAAAAGTGGGAAATTTATCATTGAATATTATTTAGCTTTTATTAGTCTGACAAGTACCCTTATCTAGAACCTCTAGGATCAACTTCCCTGTACTTTCTAAGCAAAACTCCTCCCTCAGCAAAATAATGAAGTCTGATAAATGACATTCAAATTTACTATTGTGACTTAACATGTGAAAAGATCCAAGGGGTAAGCATGCACCGGCAACACCCCAAGCAGGACTAAAGCATGGAAAGAGGCAAGACTAAGACAAGAGGCGAGACAGAGAAGCCTGAAAACGCAGAATAGGAAGATCATCAAAAGATGATGGAGATTTTAGAAAGGCAAGAGAGACAAAGGAAATTAAACTAAAACCAAAGCACTTTGCGATTATTTCAGTACAATTGCCATAATCATGATAAACCTGCCTGTTGGTTATTTTTAGCACCTAACTTCTTTTTTAGGTAGACAAATATTAAAGTGAACCCCTGACTATAGAGCACTCGTTCAAAACGGACAAATAACTACAAGCAAGTTAACAACATAAACTAGAAGACTCTAAAGGGAGTATGGAGATCCAGATAATATTGCAACTTCATGCAGGCAAAATTAGCGGAGGTGGAGGATAATAACAATAAAAATTGATAATCATAATTGAACTTTATTAATCTCACATTGGAGAAATTGACCTCTGCCTTTAACCCATCCCCCTGGGGAGCAGTGAGCTGCCATCGTTGGGCGCCCGGGGAGCAGTGCAGGGTTAAGGGTCTTGCTCAGAGACCCAGAGTGGCAGTCTGTGGGAGTGGGGCTCAAAACTCAGAACCTCAGGATTCCAAGCTCTATGCCTTAACTATGCCACTCCCACCTCTGGAGACTGCAGATGAAGCAACAAAATAACTAACCACAGTGTTCTATCCCTCCATTTTTCTTTCTAACAGAAACATTTATGACAGCTTTGATGACGTCAGCGTCTTCCCCTCACAGTGCCCAGTCCTCTGGCCTTTCTCACGTACACTCATCAAGCAGCCCTTCCTCCCCTCCAGCCTGGGCACGACTGACCGAAAGACCCCCGGGACTGAAGACGTATCGTTCCAGCTCACGTGGAGCTCTGAGACTGACCATCAAGCAGGAGTCAGGTTCTCGCAAAGTGATCCACAACTCGGCCTGCGATCCGGGACTCAAGCGGGACCACACGGGGCAGCTGACCAACGGCGGTGGAAGTGTAAATGAGCGTCACCCGCAGGCAACCAATGGCGCCACTCGGCGTCACCAATATGGAGAGGAAATGTCAGATGGAGTTCTTAGCTGTAACACTGGAGAACAGGTCCAACAGACAGCGGCCGAATCCCAAACAAAACCTCCGATTCCCCTTCCGATGACAGAACCAGAGGATGTTTGCTTTGAGATTGCCACTAGGGACATCGGCGCCCCAAAACTGAAATGCTACAGACTGGATGTGTCCCCTCAGCCAGAGCAGCACTTAAGCCCGGCGTCCCTGCCTTTCCAAGAGGACAACATCCTCAGCGAACATCTACAGAGTGCCATAGACAGTATATTGGAGCTCCAGCGCCTGCAGGGGCCCTCCACTGCCCCGAGCAGGGGAGCATCAGGCCCCTCACTGGACCAGCCTGTCACCAGCATCCTAGAGGGACACCTGTGAGGTAATCTGAAAGGGCCCAATAAAAAGATGTTAATGAGGATGTTGCTTGTACTAATTGTGTGAAGGAAGATAATAATGAATAGGCACTATAAAGAGATGCATACCAGACAACAGCACTATCTATAGTCCAATAGATGTTAGATACTTCATTTTTGATGTACGTTTGTGGAAAAAAAAAATCTATTTGAATAGGAGCTATATCGTTTCAGTGGTAGTTAAGTCCTACAGAGGTTTACGACACTGGTGTAACCGTCATCAGCATATAGTATATAAGTAATAGTGAGGATAATAAAACACGGAGTAGGCTGAGATTATTCAATAGTTTTTTATTATAAGATTTTTTTTAAAACTGTGAAGCTTTTTTTTTTTTTTTTTTGCATAGTGCCAATCTTCCAGGGTATTTATTTTGATACTTTGTGCCAATTGTGTTTTGCATTGAGAAATGCAGCGAATGTGTGAGGGGTGCATGCGTTCTTGTTTGAATTAGTTTGCGTGGATTCCGATGAGTGTGTGCGTGGTAGTGCATCGGATCATGTGACGGGATGAAAGACACAAAAATATCCCACGTGCGCCGTCATCCTGGCTTGATGAATGGAACTCCAAAGATTTTGTGACTTGCTACATTCTAAATACACCAGCAAACGTCCATGTCATGTCTCTTCCCGCAAACTAGAGTCTGTACTCGTTGAAATAGCAAAAGACATTATAAAAAAAGAGGCCGATGGGGCATAGAAACACATTAGGCAGTTGTGTTTTGTTGCTATTTTTAGAAGTTTTGACCATTTCTGAAGTCAAACTGTGACATACTGCTACCGTAGTTTAAATGCCACTTTTAGAGACAAACAGTTTCCCCTACTGTGTGAATGAACATGCAAGCAATAATAGGTTAGGGTTGTTAGGAGCTGCAGTGATGCAGGAAGAGTAAGGAGCCTGTTTAATAGCTGGGATTGGGTGAAAGCAAAGATTGTTTTGCAGAATGAGAGATGCTTTAAAGTCATGAAGGCCTTTGCTGTTTTGAAAATATTGTCTCAAGGGATTAAGGTTGGCTTATAGGCATCGATGACCATAAAAAATGTTCAGTTTTGGAATGAAATACACCAAAACTAGTGGAAAATCCTGAGTTTGAGCCTCTCTGCATCATCAGCCTTTAACCAAAAACACGACAGATCATCTGCTACACTTCCATTTTATTTAGGCAATTGTTGATTTTTGCAGCTTCTTATGTTATTGTGACAATCTGTTCGCCCATATGAAAACGTGAATTCTGTTGCTATCCATCTTTAAATTTGTGCGAAATATTTGCTGTAAGTGAATTTTTTTGCTAGAAGATCAAAATTTGAAATGTAAAAACTGCAAAAATATTGTTCTAACATGTTGGAAAGGCAGAAATTAAGCTTAGGGTTTTAATGTATGGAGCAAATTTTGTGTCTTTATTTTGCAAATGCTTGAAAAACTATTCTAGCAATGATAATTTTTAAAGACTGATCCATATATATATATTTTTTAAATTTACCTGATGGTTGCAGATTTTGCTAATAGGGACTTAAGATCTGTAGTTGCATCACAGATCAAAACTATTTGTCTAAGCAATAAGCACAACATCTCGATTGTGTTCCATTTCATTTGAAAGGCAAAATGACAAATCTTGAAATGATTAGATGTTTATCCTTTAATGTATAACTGTAATAACATTAATTTGCTATAGCAGTGGTAGAAATAATTATTTGAAATAAAAAAAAAAAGCAGAATCTCTATTTTCAGATTATTATTCAGATGTCTCAGGAGTTTTGATTTCAGATATTTGTTACAATATAATGACACAAAATTTGTTCCATACATTTAGGGGTTAAGACATGTATTGGAAATATTTTTAAAATGGACCCCATATGAAATAGGGTGTTTATCTTAAAGTATTCTCTGATCTCAGTGTTGGGAAACGAGAGCATCCAGAATTTTGGGCCAACTTGCTAATGTTTTGTTTTTTGTGAGTCTTTTTTTGTGTGTTTAAATAGTCTTTTGTCACATTGAGCAAAAGGAGTTTTAATATGCAGTAATTTAGTGTTGAAACTAAATGTTCTAGTGTCTGTGGAGACATGGAAGATCCATGAGACATGTCTGTATGCTATTGCTAAAGGTACGGCTGGCAGGAGTCAGCTCGCCTGCTTGGGGGATCTTAAGGGCAATTGGCTGCAAGTTTACAGTTTAGATAATCTAAAACTTAAAAGTGACTTTAAAAAGTATTTACACCCTTGAACCTTTTTAGATTACGCCCAAAATGATTGTCTTGATCTGGAAGTATTTGCATATCCGTATAAGAAAAAAGTTCAAGCTTGATTTTCTTTCTCATTCATGCATATATTTTGATACTAACCAGTCTACTTTATAATGGTTTTATTTCTTGAAGTTCTGATATTTAATCTGATACTTTGTCAAAATGTTCCAGTTAACTCTCACTATGTTCCCTCCACTGTTGCCAATTTTTCAGCAAGGAAAGTCACTAGGTGACATTTTCTAATTTATAAATTATTCAATAATTTACCTGAACTCAAACTATATAAATCAGTATTTATCAAATTCAGCTTTGAGGCAGTTAACATAGGGGCATACAGTGGCTGATACTGTTTAGGAATTAATGCAGGGAGGGTCTATTTTAGTGCAAGTTTCAAAAAACAGAAAAAAACACTTCAAATATATTTACATCCTTGCTTTTTAATACAGGGAGGATCAATTGAAGCTTTGGGCATATGCGAGTCATCTTTGATATGGTAAACCGACAGCATACATGGTTAGGTGCCGACTGTCACCGCTTTGGAGGGTGGAGGGGCTCGCAGCAGCACTCACTTCTTCCTGTAGACCATAAACTCTATGGCAATATTTGCTTTAAAGCTGTTGCTCACAGAAAAGTCACTAAAGTGGTCTGAAGAGTCAGAGTTGGCAACACTGCTTTACTTTCCCTGTTGGAAAGCATCGCCACAGCATACTTCTGCCACCACCATGTTTCAATATATGAGGTTTTCCCAAAGAGGTTCCTTCCTTTTTGCCATTATCAGGCAATCAGATATTCTGACTTAAAAAAAAAAGTTCAGTGGGTTATACTGTTGCAAGTCACTATAATTAAAATTCAGCAAAGAGGGGGCTTTTTTTTTTTAATTAACAGACATGTTGGATCCTCTGTCTCCACCAAGTTTCAGCAAAAATGCAGTAAAAAGATGTCAGTGTCTTTCACAACAGATTGCACTCTGTCACTGCTGAACTTATTTAAGGGGAAATCATTTATTTATCTTGTGCTAAGTACTTCCCAAAGTTCTCCTTTATAATTAAGTTCTTATAGAAGCGCAACATGGACAGAGTCCCCTTGAATGAAGCAGCCTCATGTGCCATGTTTTTGTTTTTCCTCTGAAGTGTCTAACGCTGCCCTTTAGATACTTAGCTTGTCTGGATCATCCGATAAAATAATTCTGCATGTTGAGCCATTTTATTTGTAATTGTGCTTTATTCAGCGTTTGAACTGTGAAACCAGGGGAGCTCATAACTTTACACAATTTCAAACAAAAACATTCGACTAGCAGATTGTTCTGATGCCAAAATCAAGAGGCCTTAATTCAACAGAACTAGATTGTAAAAAATAAATGCTGATAAAAAGAAAAAAAAAAAAAAAAAACTAGAGGGTTCAACTAAAGACTCCTTTGACCTGAAACGAGTCATTCATATAAGAAATGTTAAGAAAACCACTTTTGTACTCATTTTTACAAACTATTTATTAAACTGTGATTTTGTAAGAAATGAGTCCGTATTATTTTTGGGGTTTTGTTTCTGAACACATGTGAAAATGAACACAACACTGATTATTACAAATATTCTTTATTTCTTTTCTAGTTTATTTTTTTGTGGAAAAAACAGCTTTGACACTTTACGCAGCAAAGTTCACGATTTAAACTGTTTGTCCAATAATTATTAATTCATAAGTCTTATATGACAGCCTTGGAAAAGGAGGGGTTAGGTTGATGGGGTAACATCGAGGAAGCGTCGGCATCTGTTCACTGTGCTGGTTTGGTTTATGGAAAAACGACGTCGTACTGAAAGTGACGTTAACGGATAAAGTGTTGCATCCTGATGCTGAGAGGCTGGGGTTTAGGAGGCGCACTAAAACATGAGCCATGAAGGATTCCCAGCATCAGCCTCAGCAGCAGGACTGAGACATGCAGAGTTTAAATGACCGACCGACAGATACCAGCTTTGACCTGCTTCCACTAATATCTTCCTGCAAAAACCCAAACGCATCTTCATAATAGGAAGAGAAAACATTTTCAAGGTGTTTGAAGCAATCTTACCTTTCTTCTATTGACCTAAAACAGACAATAGACTAGAAAGAAAAACAGGAAGGGGGGTGGGGGCAAATACTTCATCACAAACCATCCTGCAAAGACCAATAAGGGGAAAAAATTACACATCTACACGAGGGGGGTGGATTCACCTAATTGGAAGGGGAAGTTAAGAGCAGGCCGCAGCTGTCAACTAAAAATCAGACCATGACATTTATGTTCTTTTGTTTCATCTTTTCATAAATAAATAGGATTAAAAAATTGTCCCCAACATAACGAAGAGGAGCCACTCCGCTCAGTTGAGTTTGATGGGCAGGTCCTCTCCGTACTTGCGGAGGAACTTGCTGTGATTGTGGTCCACCGACCACAGGGGAGGGAGGTGGCGAGGCTGCATGGTGGTGAGAAAGTGCTGCCTCCAGCGACGCTCCAGCTCCATCAGGCCCCGCAGGCCTCGTTCGGCGTGAGCTCGCACCACCTTAAGGCCGTGAGGTATGTACGCCTCATTTAGGATCCTTGAAGGAGAGAAAGGAGCGGTTAAGAGGAAAGGAATCGAGCGAAGGGCTGTGACCACAAGCAAAAAGATGGACTGTTTTTACCTCCATATAAACATGAAACTAACTTGCAAACATGCTAGTATTTACATTTAATGGTCTAAGATGAAAATTGAAAGTAGGACTGCAACTAATGATTGATTCACAAATTGGTTATTTGTCTTTACTGCCTAATCGACTAACAATCGGATAGCTAAAGATGCCGTAAAAAAAAAAAAAAAATGACTTACATTAAACCAGGTTCTGGATAGAGAACATTGACAGACATTGTAATTTTTTTTTTTATCTTAAATGCAAAATATTTGTGTGCAAGCGAACTGGGAATTTTAGCAAGATGTAAAGATTCACCTGGTTTCCAGGCTGGCAGCCTCCTGCAGCGCCTCGGCTGTCAGCTCCTGCTCGCCGTTCATATTCATGTAGTTCTTGATCAGCACCTGCAGCTCCTCCCGCCGCTGCTCCGGCAGGCCGTCCCTGGCGCTGAGCAGCGCCCGAGCCGCCGAACGCACCCGCCGGCGGTCTGAGTCCTCCAGCAGCCGGACTCCCTCCTCGCATCCTTGAGGGGCGGCAAATTCATCAGCCAACTGCTGCTTCAGGAAGCCATCATGGACATTAGAAGCAGCGTGGCAGCTGGTGCAGAGCAGCAGGATGTCGTGGGAGTTGTGGTCTTTCATCTCTGTGGGGAAATGTCGTCTGTACTCATGTGGGACAATGTTTTTCCTGCCATGTTGGAGATAGGAAGACTTTATTTTCCTATAATGTAATGTTTTAAATGATTTGAAATGTGCAACAAAAAATAAAGTTAAAGGGTGTGTAAGAAACTTAAACAGATTTATGTAAAGAGGCACAAAGCAGTTAACCAATATTTATTTTACAGCTCACGTTAAGAGACCAAGGGCATGACCAGTTACCCGTGGCCAAACTATTAAAAAAAACCCTTTGGACATTTTTCTAAACTAGCTAAAAAAGAAAAACTTGCTGCCATTAACTATGGTGATAAGTGGGTAACAAATTATTCCTGGTTTCTAGGCTGTTTGAACCACTTGTTCCAAAGGGGTGTGTCCCTAGGAGGAAAGAAGTCGGCGTCAGCGAGTTCTGTTCACACAACCAAATAGATCTTGTAGGGGCTCTAAACAGGGCAATACTCAGACCTAAAGGTAGGTTCACACTCAACACGAATTTCTGGAGAGGAGCGAAGCCAAGCGAGGAGACACCGGCGAATGTAGGGCACGATTTTAACAAAGTTGGTGACATATGATCACTGCCTCGCCCTAGAAAGAAGTTAGAAAATCTAAACTTTAGTTTACAATCCTCTGGGATTCCTCCAGGGACGTTCATGGTTTGGTTCAGATTTATGCATGTATGATACGCACCGCAATTTGCTCTGAGAAATCCAATGTCTGCCATTATGAAAATAATCAGCAGACTAGATGGCATAGGAGCCTTTCATCCCCCAGGGCGAATTCTTATGCCTTGTGAATTTGCTTTTGCTGGCCAGGCGGAAATGCCGCCGAGTTCAGGTTTGGTGTGAATGCACCGTAAAGACCCAGGTGGGTTTCTGAACTGCAGCCCACAGATACGTGAGAAGTTAACCTGGCCAGCCAGACTGAATAACACGGCAAATATGGCCAGTCCAATCACAGTACAATGCAGTTTCGTGTGCATTACTGCCATCTACATGGCTGCAGTGAGAATATTTAGCATGCTACTCTCATTAAATATAATATGATCAAATTTAAGGGTATCTGGAATTTGAAAATTGTGATTATAATACAGATACAATTAATCATCCAGCGCTAGTGTTAACGTTACTGATTTATGAGTTATAGCTCATATTTAAAGTGGGCAAACCTGATGTAGGAATCCGCTTTTCCACAGACGACGCAGAGGTTTTCCTTGGCGGTCAGGTAGTAGTCCTGTTGGGAGTCAGGGCGTCCAGATGGCTCAAAGAGCAGCCTCACAATGAAGGGATCTTCACTCTGCAGCACTGTTTTCATTTGGAAACAAACCAATTCGCTTTAAATATTAACCCCTTGAACCCTACGGACCCACCGGCGAGTCCAGCTGCTACGTGACCTCGTAATTTTACCAAACCCCCAGTATTGATGTAAAAAACATATTTGGCACAGTTTGGTGACATTTATGGATAAATGTGCCAAAATGGCCTCTCCGCCTAAGACATTTCTCACTAATACCATTCTAAAATAAATATGATTCATCTGATTGAGTCCAAATTTGGTATATTTTTACACAACATTTAGATTTGAAAGTCTGTACTACTTTTTTGTGCTATAAATAATATTTTGGTAGTGTTTTGCAATGTTTGTTTCAAAGAAAATTTTGGCGAGGTTCAAAAAATGCAAAATATTTTGTATTTTGTCCCTAATATTTCAGGCAGGGTCAAAGCTACAATGGTGCTGACACCAGAAAACCATTCTATGACATCTTACCTTTACAGACGTACCAAAAGTTTCTTCTTAAATCTAATAGCTTTGAGGCTATAAGTTATTTACTTTTGTGTGTTTTTGTCAGGCAGAAATGTATTTATACCCCCTGAGGGTGTAAGAGGTTAACAAGTGATCCTCAAGGCCATGAAGCTGGAACTTTAATCTAAACTGTTACTGATGAAGAGGAGGGGGAAAAAAAGAGCTTACCTCCGATTTCTTTGTCCAGGTACCACTTGGCTTTCTTTTTGTCACATGTACAGAGAGGTTGGCCATCGGGGGCGTAAAGGAAGCAGTTATCATAGAGAGGAGACTTCCTGGGACAGGTAGAGGCAAGAGATTTAAAACCCAGAACCGACTTCAGACCCAGTCAGAAATAGCCGGTTCTGCTCACCTGGCAGAGTATCCCACGCCCAGCGGTTTCCTCTTGTTATTCTTTCGAGGGTCTGGGACTTGCTGATCTCCAGACTCTGGGCTTTCGCACGCTGCCGGCTTTCTCATTCTCCGCCGCCTCTCTCCTTCATGCGTCCTGTCCTCTCCGTCTCCACGGCCCCTGAAGGGGACGTCCACCAGGCCCTGGCAGCGGGAGACCAACTCCGAGTAGGAGCTCCCACTGGAAAAGGCGGGACTGGCTTCATCCTGGAGGCCAAGGAGGTGGAGGAAGAGGGCGATAGAAATCTGGGCATCTCTGGCAGCGTAAGTCATCTGGAGGAAAAAGAGGGGGAGGATTCAGAGAGCCTGTTGACTGGGAAGGATGATAACTCACTGAAACTCATTTTATTCTGCAATCCCTGCTAAATTTAGAGATACGACTATCAATGACCCTCTGTCGGTAAAACTCTGGATCTAATGTGTTCAGGGAACGAATCACAGACTCCAAATCTGAAGCCTGAGATTCAATCAATCAATAAACAAGCTTTTTTTTTTTTTTTATCATTTAGAACTAGAGCTGGGAGATCACCAATTATCTCAGAGTTACTGCATCTAACTAATAAAACCCACAATAGAAAGAAAAATAACTTATCCAATTTTTCAGTCTTTAAAAACATATTCCAAGTCATTAAAAAAATTAATCAAAGTTATTATGAAAAGAAATTTATCTTGATAACAATAAACTACACAATAAATTCCGACCCCCATGCATTGCTTAAATGGTGATATTGTCCAGAAAAAAAAGCTTATTTTGGGGAAGAAAAAAAGCTTATATTTTTGGCCCTTATGCTACGTTTACCCCAAAACAATTTTAGCAGCAAAAAAGGTTCCTACTGCTTCATTCTTTATGCTTTTACACATTAAGGTCAGATGCACCTCAAGAGCATCTTAGATGCTCCTGAAGCGCATCCAGTAAATTGTGTACAGATGCTTCTGCTGCTAATGTGTTCAATAAATATTAGGAGTTTTACGTTTTTATGCAAGAAAGTCCACCTCAAAACTTCATCTGTGCAGTCAGTTAATCAAGATTATGATTCCTGCCTTCAAATATTTCGCTGTCTGAGCCGTTCAGATCTCCACATACCGGCCGTGGACTGTCACTGAGAATCTAGCAGCATCAGGCCCACTCGCCTCTGGTGGGATTTCCCCCCTACTGTTTGTGGCGGCTGGAAGTAGATGTTAGTGTCTTCCATGTATGCTTTACAAACTGCAAGCACCAGTATAATAAAAGCGAACATATTTTGCTGCCAAGTGGACATTTTAAGTTAATTTAGTCATTAATAAGCTGTTTCAAGGGAGTAATCATAGAGATCTGCATCAGCAGCGCTGCATATCTCTCCCTGCCAGCTCCCAGATCAGCTTCTCATTAGTTGATCTGGCACGTATAGGAGCTAAAGTTAAAATTTTCAAACTCCAGCATCTGCTGCTTGTGAAGCGTGTCATGCCCGTCAGATGCTCAGAAGATCATGAGGCGCAGCTTCTGCTGCTCGAGACATGCTGCAGGACCTTTGCATGTACATTGGCTGTTTCTGCTGCTCAAAGCACGTCTGATGTAAAAGTAGCATTGCTCTGGTGCCAATAGGTGCATTATGTGTTCGCCCAAACTGGGGGATGCACCACCTAATGGCAGTAGTGTGTAAATGCAGTGGACACCTGGTAAAAATGTATTGAATAAATGAACCATTTTAAGGGGTATTGGTAAAAAAAAAGTTTGAAATTTGTTGCACTGGAGAATAAGCAGCTAAATGTAAAATAAATTAACTTAAAAGTTGGTCATTTTAGCAATTTAAGGAGATTGTAGTTTAGAGCGATTATCTATTTACCACGGTTTACTTTTCTTTATTCAACTGAACTTAAGAAATTAGATGTACTTTTCTTTAAACAGAAACGGTTTCCAGCAAGAAAAATGTGAGTGCATTTAGCAGCCATACATGACTGCTCCCTCAATCACTAATGTTTAGTTTGATTTGTCACTAAATAATTTTTTCGACCTAAATCATAGGGTCAAAGAATCGGCTCAAAAATATTAGCAGCACACATTGGCGATCGGTTAGACAGATGTTTATATTTGGCATAAAAAAAACAAAAAAGCTCACTGGCTGACCTCTAATACCGTTTCTAGGAGTTTAACGCTTCTGTATTTTTATTTCATTAAATTCCTTCAAACTTACATACAGTGAGGTCTCACTACCTGCTCTAGTGTTAACTGATCCGCTTCCCAGTCGCTGCAGCGCACCTCCAAAGATTTATCCAGAGACACGTTTAACAGATCTGCAGCCAAAGACTTCAGACTGAGGCCGTTACTGACAGAAGATCGCCTGAATGTGAGAACAGTTTTATTATGATGGGTTTTTCCTCTTTGATTCCACAGCCAGTACTCAGCTTCTAAACCGTACCTTTGCCTTAAAGCCATGTAGCGCAGATCGACCGTGGAGGTCAGAGATAGGCCATAGTCACGGGTCAGACGCTTCCCATCGTCATAGCAACCCACCCCAACTTTCAAAATGCACGGGTCTCTGAGGACTTCCATGAAGCTAGTTGGGAACGGCTGCTGGGCGCCTCGGAACGGCAGCAGCCTGACCAGGACACACAGGCCAGAGTAGGTGGCCATCTGCAGCAGAGAGACGACGGAGGCTCTGCGCTTAATCGACACCTGGGAGGGGAGAAGATGGCAGAGTCAGAAGACTAATCCGCATGGGGGAAAGATAAAAAAAAAAAAAAAAAAAAAAAAAAAAAAAGGAAACTCCACCAACACAGTACGTTAAGTGCCTAAAAAAATTATTTTTTTTTTCCTGGGTGGGTCTTTCCTTTTTTTGATTGTGTAAAAAAAATCATGCAAAAGGTATTCCTTACGCCTTCGGTCTTTACCCATTCACAGTCGAGCCCCAGCACGGGGAAGACTGATAGTTCTGTCTGCATCAGTGGCCACATCTCCTGCCATTCCTCTCTGGAGCTCACCATCACCGGCTTCACCGCCAGCAGCTGCTCACAGGACGGGATACAGACAGGGGGCGGGACCTTTGTGGTTTGACACTCTGTGGTTTTAAACTCCTCCTCAGCCACGCCTTGCGCCTGGATTTGTTGACTCTCAGTAGCATCTTCAACAGGACAAAGAGGAGCCAACTGAACCGCCGCCTTCTGGATGGAAGACAGCTTCTTCCGTTTTGTGCGATACACCTGCCATATGAGCAGCCCCCCTAAAGCTGCACTCAGTACCGTTATGACGGTGGTGAAAGGCCCCCGATGAGACATGTTGACAGACTGGACAGGAGAAAGAAAATACAGAAGAATTTTAACATCTGAGCACATCTGGAAGCAGTCACCCACCAGATTTTAATGTCCTTGTTTGTTTTTTTCAACTGTGCATCTCTGCAGTTAGAAAGCAATAATCTCCTTTACAAGACAAAACAAAAATCTGAAATATGGACAGCCTATACTGCTCTGTAACGTCTGATAAGTTCAGACAAAATTTTAGGATTACAAAAAAAAAACACTTTTGCTTTCAATGGTTAGTTTGAAAGGGTTCTGTAGTGGACGATCTAGTTCAGTAATGTAGTTTATATGGTTTGGCTTATCTGAAGTTGAAGTTAAATGCAAAGTAAATAAAACATGCTGACAGTAACTTTTTCGGTTTGAATATTAAACAAAGTTTTTCATCATTTTATGATGTTAATATGGATAAGATTTAAAAAGGTTAAAACCACAATTAACAGATGAGTATTTGATATAAAACTATTAAAATAAAATTAATCCAGTAATCATAAGTGGGGTTATGAAAAATCCAGAGGTACAGAACAATAATTTCAGGTTGTGCCATAGGAAACATTTAGATCAGGCATTCCTAAAGTTGGTCCTCGAGGGCCGCCGTCCTGCAGGTCTCCCTTCTCCTGCACAGCTGGCTTCCATTGATGGCTGATTATTAGGCTTTTGCTGAACTGCAATCATCAGAATCAGTTGTGATAACGCAGGGAAACCTGTAAAACATGCAAGACAGCGGCCCAGAGGGACCGACTACGGGCTTGCCTGATTTAGGTTTTAAAGTAGCCCAGGTTTCCCAACTTCTGGGGAATAAACGGCCCTTTTTATCTGAATCTGGTGCTAACAGAAACACAGTCTATTAAAACCTGTTAAACTAAATATTGTGGTTCCATCGCTGTGATAAGTTTCTTTTTAACGTACACGTGTTAAATGTTAAAACTAAACAGTTCATCTCGACAACATCCCCCAGTTTTCTCATCAAGTTAAACCCTCGTCCATCGGTTAGCATCAACGGCTAAGCAATAAACTAGCTCCATCCTTAGCAGCTCGGAGGACCTGTCGTCCCCGCCATTGAGTGTCGATTAAAAACCAGCCTCCTGGTTGCACAGATTGACAGCCTTACCTTTATGTTTGCAGCCGACAGGACGCCCCTTTCACATGGATGAAGACTTGTTTGCTGCGTTGCTCCATTTCTTCTGACCTGCATTTATACTGCGCTGCCACGGCGAGGACCAGCGGAGCAGCAGCGCCCCCTGCTGGATGGATGAATACATGACAATACAACTTCTAGCACGGCTCTATACAGTAGATCTTTAAAATATAGAGGAAACATTTATCTTTAAGGATTTTTTAATATTTTTTTATGACTCGAGTAAAATTAAACTACTGTAAATAAAAATTTGTTTAAAGCCCAAGTATACTGCAAGTAAAAGTGACTAATTAATCCAAACCTAATGCACATTCTAGTTTAGTTGTGTATCAAATAAGTAAGGAACACGTAAATATTAAAAGTCCAATGTATTGAACCTTTTTATGTATTTTGCACAAAAATGCTCTGGCTGCAAGCAGCAGCTGGCTAGCTCAAGTTAGTGGTCAGAACATTGCACAATAATAATTAACTTTGCTGCATTGGAGAAATTCACTCTCTGCATTTAACCCTTCCCCTTGCGGAGCAGCAACAATAAAATGCTTGACACTGATTAAAACTGAGTGATGAAAACAAGATTGTTTACACACACTGTCCCTGACTTAGAGCATGACAATGGCTGCAAGCTGAACGGAAATTCGCAAAAAGATTTCAGCTCTGCAAAAGCAAAGCTGAAGGAGAGAAAAAAAGTGGATGTAGTAGTCATAGCAACACTTTTGAAACTTTTATTTGAAGTAACGTGACAAAATGTGAAGAAGTGTTACAAGGCACTGCATGTGAACAAATCAGGAACACAGACCGCTTTTTCTTCTATCACCGTAAAATTTATTCAACCCATGAGCTTCAGTTTTTTTTTCTCCAAAGAGCAGAAATAAAGAAATGAAATACTTTAAAAAAAGAAAAAAAGTTGATCAGAGAATTGATCATATCAGCAAGTTTGATTAAAAAATAAAAATAGAAATCAGAAAGTGAGGATGAGACCACATTTTATTCTCCCACCGGAGGTTCTGCTGCCCGTCAGAGCCACAGGAGGCTAACGGAAACCGGGCCAGACCCAATCAAGCTCACCTGTGAGGTCAAATGATCTGGTTTATTAGTGCATGTGCATATTGAAAAAAAAAACAAAAACATTAAAATCAACTACATACAAAATAAAAACAAAATCTCCCAGGAGGAGATGGTAAAACAGGATTGATGCATCCTATGTTGTTAAATAATATTAATATAAAACAAAACTGGTACTAAAAAAATAAGGACAAAGGGAGTCCTAACTTGTACTGAAAAATTAAAAAAAAACTAAGGACAGGTAAAAGAGAGGCAACCTTATAGGCACCACCACCATGGCCAAGCACAAACTGATTGTTGCTGCAAACAAACACTATTCATCAGAGATATTTTTCATTCAGGTACATGATGCTGAGACAGCATCAAGATTTGTTTTTCAAAAATGACGGAAAAATATAAAATAAAACTAAACAAAAAAAAGCACACACTCAAAAAGCAGCTATCCCTTCAAAAAAAATCTCTTTACATCACATTAAAAATCTGCACTGCTGTGAGCTGTGTGTACAGTATAGATTCTTTATATATATATATATATATATATATATATGAATTTATGTATAATATACATGAACTTTCTCGTATACACAAACATTGTAACTATCCCGTGCCTTTGGCAAGATTACTTACAACTCTTCTGTTAGATTTCAAAGCTATTTAAAATATACTTGATGCATAAAAATAAAGATTTTGGCATTGTCTTGCTCTACCCTTAGGACTGGGGAGGTTGTTTTTGTTTTTTTTAAGGAGTACTTCTCATCTGGAAGTGGAGTTCTCTCAGTGCTGCAGCCTTTCTACCATTGCAAAAGAAGGTGGGGGAGGTGATGATAACCTTGTGCTCCGTAGCACAAACAAGACAACACAGAAGACAAACGAAATGCCTGAGGAGCTGAAAATTCACTCAGCTTCCCCCCACTTTCTCCCAGCTTCATCCCCCTCCCTGCTGAGTGCCTCGAACGAAGGACGGCCGGACGACTCTCCCGTTAAGTTTGTGCTGCACCGTGTTCAGAGCTGGATCTCAAAAGTCTTTTGCAGCTCGGTGGAGAAGGGGTTAGTGGGGGATGGGGTGGTGCGCTGGTGGGGGCGGTTCTCCAGGGCTGCCCACTGGGCTTCGAAAGCATCTTCCTGCGGCGCCGGTGCAGACTGCGCCTGCAGGGAGGATGAGGCTGCCCAGCCGTCGGCGCCGTTGAAGGCGGCCCTGCCATTAGAAGGGTGCAGAGGCATGGGCTTAACCTCTGCGGGTGGAGGGGGTTTAATGTACGGGGAAATGTTATTGATGCCCTGAGCGTCCGTCTGCAGCGTGGAGGAGGCTGGGACTGGAAAAGGCTGCGGATGGGTGGCGGAGCCAAACGCGTTAGCCACCATCTGTGAAGGAGTAATGCCGATCAGAGGCACGCTGGGCTGAGGGAACGGCAGCCCGTTGGACACCGGGTAGGAGGCCAGCGCCTGGGCGTGGAAGGCGGGCTGGCGCGGGGGCACCATGGGGACGGTGGGGGCCAGAGAAGGGATGAAGGGCACCGGGGGAACGACGGCTACGGGGGCCATTGGCATCTGTGCGGGGGCGGCAAACGGCTGGGGGGGAGGCGTGCTCCCTGCGGCGATGGGTTTAGGCTGTGGAGCTCGGACAGATTTGGTGACTTCCTCCAACCAGCGGTCTGCTTCTGATGGCGTTCGTTTGTGGGCGGACATGGCTGGAGAAGCAGTGGGAGGGGCTACAAGGACCGGTGCAGCTGATGGCCACTCCCCTCCTGCATTAAGACAGAAAAAACAATCAGTCCCATAATGATTTCCTTTAATGGTTGAGACGTCTTTCCTCAGATAACTTTATTAGTTCTCTGTTTTTCTGCTTGTCACTTGTGATCAGATAACCTGGAACAATTTGGCCCAAAATGTCAGAATGTGGCGTCTCTGTTGAGCTGCTTACCTGGGTGGGCTGCAGCCGGGGGCCCTGCTGGGTTTGTGGCCCAGGGGTTAGTCTCTCTAGCAGGCAGAGCAGGGTGCAGGACTAAGGGGTTGGCAGCAGGAGCAGCAGAGAAGGCAGGCATGGTGCCGTTCACTAAAGCAAATAAGAGACAGAAGCTAATGCTAGCTCTGAAAGATCTATTGTTAGACGTGCAATGGCTGCCATGCTTCTAATGGCCTTTAGTGTTAAACATAGTTAGAAATGTTATGTTGAATAAAAAAAAAATAAAAAAAAGAATAGTAGGCATTACAGGGAAATGGTTAGATATAAAATATAACAACATTCCAATTAGAGGAGCAAGAAATTCAAGTAAACTACAGCTAATTGTTGCACGGAGCAGATGTCCTACAGCAACAGGTGTTACCTGGAGCCACAGGAGACTGTGGAGAAGATGCTGGTTTGGGCATTGGAGCAGAAGAAAACGGGTCCTCTGGGGGTCCGCTGAAGGCAGTGGCGATCTGGGTGCACAGGGAACTGATGCTGTCGCCTTCTCCTTCTACCTCAGGGACTGCATGAAAAAAAGATTCAGAAAAGCAAAGTTAAACAGACCTCAGATCTGATCTAAAGGTGTCGTATTATGTGTAATGTCTCAGAGTAGAGAGGATATTGGCTTTACAGAATAAAAACAAACTGTAAAAAAAGGGGGGTTAGTGTTGTTCAATACATTATGACTTTTAGCCAGCAAATTCTTTTAGAAGTACTACATCTTTATAAATGCCAATGTCCCTTCTTTAAAATACTGGAATTTCTGCAGGTTTTTTGGAAGGTTCCATAAATCATCACCTGCGTTTTTTATAGGGAAATCCGACTTTCGCTGCATAGTGGAGGGCAGCTCATTTGGGCGCAGTGACAGCTGTCGTTTGAAGGGAGACGTCTTCTGGCTGAGTGCCGGAAAGCCTCTGAAGGAGCCCTGCCGGGCGATGACATCGGCCGGCGCGTGTCTGCGGGGGATCACCTGAGGTCCCAACGCACCAACGGAGAGTGGCGGAGAGGATGAGGGGGACGGGGAGCTTCCTGGCTGGTTCAATGAAGGGTTTGTTGAAATATTGGCTGCATTCCCGGCAACGTTTAAGTCCGTCTCTGCTGGTAAAGAAGGGAGACAGTAAAGAAATAAAAAGCCAAGATTCATACTAAAGCCAAGTGACAGGATTCTTACAAGAGAGAGAGAAAAAACTCTCTAACAACTGATCTAATAGAGCCACAAAGGTTCTATAAATGCCAGACCTTTGCTGAGACGTGGGACCCATCCACTACATGTTTAATACACAAAGAACTGGGAAATACGTTTCTATTTTTATTTTTTTGGAAGAGTAAAAGGAAGAGCAATTCATTTTACATTAAAACACATTGAAAATAAATTAACACTTTTAATCCAGAAAGAGGGATAAAATAGAAAGAAAGAACTGAACAGAAAGACCCAAACAAAGAAAGACTGAGCACAGACACCTTTTTTAGCATCCTGCAGTTGTCTCATGACTTCTTCTCTCTCTGCAGCCTCTGTTGCTGTGGTAACACGAAATGAGCCTTCCCGAGTAAAAGTGGTTCTGTTAGCATCAAAGGTTGCCGTGACACCACACTCCTTCTCCCGCTTCTGTTTCCTCTCCAGACACGCGGCAAACGCACAGCCCACAGCATGACTAAGCCGCTCTCCCTGGCAGGGACGAGACAAACAGTTTGCGTTTGTGGAAGAAATTAACAATCACCCGAAAGCAATAGAAAGTGAAAGATATTGATTTATTTCACAAGATGACAGCTCAAGATCCACTTCACAGAAAAAAAATTGCAGGTTTTGGTCCTTTAAAGCTTCATTAACAGAAAAGAAAAAAGCCAGTTCTTACTGAGTCTTTAATGGCCATAAAACAGTGGCAGATCCAGCGTCGTGTGGTGCCATCCCTGCAGATGTATGAGAACGCCCTCTCAAAGTTCCTGTCTGGAGCACAGAACGAAACCTTCTCTATTGTCTGATCCAGAATCAGGTCCTGCAGGAAGCAGTTTCTATCATTAGCATGGTCATAGCTGGGACACAGGAAATCAAATAATAGCCAAACAGGAGCTGAAGAGTTTAACACAGATT